TTTGATACTTTAATCTATATGTGTGTATCCATTTTGCTTTTGCTTGCATAAGAAAGAATATTAAACATTTCTCCTTTTTAAATTTTATAAGCCACAATAGAGAAGGAACGTAATCATCCTACACTGAAGAAATCTTTAGTGCAACTGATGATCATGGTGTTCTGCTGGCAGTCATTTGCCTCAAATAACAACTCCACGGATAGCTCCTTGCAATCGCGAATAGTGTTTTCATAACAGGTACTCGCCAACTGGCATACTTTTGCGACGCTCGTACCACGTAAGACATGTTGCATTGCTATTATGTGTTTTTTAAAATTATATTTAGAAGATAAAATACAAGATTCTTTGTAAGACGCGTTGACATGATCAAAATAAGCGCGCTCATACAAACTACATCATAAAAGTAAATAAAACAAAAATGGGATCCACAAAATGCAAAGAAGAAAAAAGTTACACAATGTTGTTAAAAGTTAAGGCTCCTCTATAGTACTAATTCCTCAAATTCAGGGGTTTTATTGAAAGTATTATAAATCAAAAGAATAATCTCGACCTCGGTGATTTAAAAAAAAAAATCATTCTGATAGTAAAATTATTCAATGAAGTTAAAAAATAAAATCATATTTTATTACACATTCATACAAAAAATTAACGTTTGCTGTAACATATATACTTGAAAACTTACAAGTTTATTCAAAATATATATCCTATGTAATTGAAAATGTATTTTAAATGTTCATGAATAAATTCATGATTTACAGTTCGAATGTTTAAAGTAGTTTTCTTCTTGAAACTTTGTGCAATTTACTATTGTTTTCAAATTGAAAATGTAGTTATCTGTAAATAAACATTTGCAATTAAAAATTCTAAGGTTTATTTTTTAATTATAATAAACTCAAATTTTTTTGATTAGGTATGAAAAAAGGACATCTCTTTTAAAAGTATTGGTTAACTTGGAATTCTCAGAGAAATTTATTTTGACTCTAAAAAGCAGCGAATAGTCAGGGAAAGTTGAATTTTTTTTTTTTTTTTACAAAAACCTGGAAAATAACCAGTCTTAGATTGTCAGTAACAGTACTCAGTAATTGAGATTCAATTTAAATAATTCTAATATCTATTACAATAATTTATCGTCAAAATTCCTCATTTTAGAGTAACCTTTGTATGTTTCCATCCTCATTCAATGATATTTTTTGGCTCTCAAAATATAATATTTGACATAACAAATATTTAAAAAAAAAATCAAAATTTTCCGATTAAACATTGCAAGGTATACACAAAATATAGTCTAGATTAACATTGAAATTTTCCTCAAATACCTGGAAAAGTCAGAGAATTTTTTTCTGAAATTAGGTGGAAACCCTATAATATATAGCATTTGATTAAGAAAATTAAATTAGTATGCTATTTGAAATGGTGAATACAATGTGGGATTAGTAGTAACAATATATAATTTTATTGTGATATTTAAGAAGTTCAGTAGAATTTTAAAATAAAGTTTTACTAATTTTATTTAAATGTAAAACATAAAAAGAAACTGCATTTTTAATTTCCTAACATATTACTTATTTAAAAAATATTTATTAATAGATTTGACAATTAATATTATGATTTTAATTAAATTGTAGTTGCAATCTGTTTAAAATTTTAATGAAATACTTTACTTAATATTTCTTTTTTAAAAAAAGTTTCAGGGTTGGTTTTTTTTTCCGCTGCAGAAGAACCTTGCCCTCCCTAATCCTGGTAATTCAAACATGAGGAAGATAAAAAGCATTTCCCGATCTTTTTATTGAGTTTGCAAAATTGTTGTTTGTTGTTTCTTATCTGCGAAATGAATTAATCAGATCCATAAGCCATAATTAAGTCCATATGCCTACAAAATGAGAAGTTGAGAAAAAATCTTGTCCAAAATTAAATCTATATTTTAAAATATATGAACAGAAGATGTAGGAGAAGCTCTACACTTTTTTTAAGTCTTAAAAATTCAATTTACTTTCACGCTTAAAAGCGTGAAAGTAAATTTTTAAATGCGAAAAATTGCATAGGGAAATAGGGAAGCAAAAGAAAAAGTAAATAAAGGGTATAAAAAAATTAACGCCATACTTTTTTTTATTCTTTCCTTTTTATAGCTATATCAAGTTAATTTCCATTCAGTTCCATCCTTAATTTAATAATAATAATTTATGGAAGAAAAGTTACACTTACATTAGTAGGGCATAATAAAATGGATAAGGAACAAAAAAAAATATAATCACAGGAATAAAAAAATACTCTGAAACATAGCATAACAAGCTTAGTGTGAATTAACTTAGTGTAAAACATAACAAAACTAAACTCAAGGATCATACTTCATTTTGAAAGAATTTTCATTTATTATAAGATAAAGACTTTTTAGATAAAATATTAATTGACATAGCTTGTAAGTCACACTGTATGAATATATATATATTTGTAAATGCTTTCAGACAACATACATAATTATTGCTTAGTATTACATTGTCACAAGACAAAAAAGCTCAATATGAAAAACTAACAAGAATAAATTGTAAACTATAATATCTGTATACACCGGAAATCCTGCAATCCTTATTTTTATAAATTTCATAGCTCTAACAAGTATTAATATAATACTCAAAATTTACACCAATTATTTTAAGACTAAGACTGCCTACATGAACTAATATTCACACATTTTACTTTTTTACGCTTCTTTCTGGCAGGAATACTTTGACATGATTGTTTCATTTCAATTTTTTCTGCATCACTTTCAGTAGGAACTGTAGAATTATCTGCAAAGAAAAGTGAATAAAATATAATCCTAAATAAAATTCATAATCATCGATATGTTTTTTAATTCTGACTTTAATCCTTTAAGTGTTCATCCGGAAATTGAACTGAAATAAAATGTGATTGTTTGTCTGAATTGCAAACAGAATTTTTTTCTTCACAATGTTATTAATTTTAAAAAATGTTGCTGCGAAGCAGGGAAATTTTCCTGAAACTTTTTCCAGATAGATGAACAGTTAAAGGAACATCATCATGTTTAACAATTAAAAATTCATGTTTATTGTGTATGGTTTAAAATAATGCATTACATTTCAGGAATTTACATACATTCATTTGATACTAAAATCTTGAAAATTCATGGCATTTACACATTAGAGATATTTTAATATTTTAACAATAAATTAAGTATAATTCAAAAACAAATCTCATTTTTCCACATGCTTCTTCCCATATTAAACTCATTCACAGTTAGTAAATTAGTATATCAAAAAATTTAATGACTGATTAAAAAAAAAAAAGTCTAAATATAATATAAGCACTCAGGTTAGTAATTAATCTTTTATATTGTTAAATGAAAATAAGAATGCACTGGTGTTCAAAACAAAATCCTGCCTTAATGCTACAGAGCTCTTTTAAGAATTTGATACTTTAATCTCCTTTGAAATTTTTACACTCATGAATTTCAGAAACGTACATTCAATATTTTTACATAATTTTTTTTACTAGATTTTTAAAAACACTCATTACTGAAAAACATGAATAAATGTCAGCTTAAAGTTAGGGTATAATTTGTTTTACATTTCTTTAGAAGTAAAAATGTAATATCCTAACATTAATAAAACTTCTGTGCATACATTATATATAAACTAGAAAATTCAAAACTTTTTCTGTGATTTTATGGAAATGTAGAATATAACTAAGTACATTTTGTAATATAAATTATGACGAGAAATTTAAATGAAATGGATGTATCAAAGGCTGGCAATATTTATCAGGCAAACTTTCCAAAACTAAATAAAATATGTAGGTACCTACAAGGTTCTATCTGGCAAAATTAATAGATGGTAAGCCTCAATCTGACAAAGAAGACTATATTCTGGGTCTGCTAAATGTGGCTCATATGATTAATGTAAAATAGCTTACGTGAGCTAACAATTTTCTCTTCTTCTCATTTGCTAAAACTGAAGAATACAGAAACTGAACATAAGTACCAAAATTAAAAGTTTTAACACCAAAATTGATGATAAATACTTAATTCCTGTTAATTTATTCATAAATTGCTTGTTTTAAATTAATAATTATACACCTTTATATAATGTATATGCAATTTTATATAATGCATAGGCACATTTAAAATTATTTACGTCATGATGTTGTATTCACAAAATTATTAAAATTATTTCAATTTATTTTAAATCATTACACACATTTGTTCCTCACAATAAAACATCAAATAAAATTTTGAATATAACTTTCTTCTAGATTTCATCTTCTGGGTAGCTGAAATCGAAACAGCTTTAGATACTTATCAAAGGCGGTGATGAATGTGATGTATTATCTGTCTATAAAAATTGCTGTAAATAGTTAGCTGATGTTCTACAATTATTAAAAAGCCCATAATTTAAAAGTTGTGATCTATCATTTCTCTCAAACTAAACTCAGTGGCGTGACAGCTAATAGAGGGCCGGCCTACTGTGAGCATCTTGTTTTTTTTTTTTTACATTGGGCTCTGAAATGCAGGAGCAGATGTTCCGGTTGGGTGGTCAGCCAAATGCGGAACCTCCAGTTTTTAGTTCCCAAGCATGCTTGTTACTCATTTTATCGATAATTTCTCTCAGTAACAATTAATTTTAATCACGCTTGTTAAAACTTAAATAACTATTTCTTCCATATTCTAGCTATAGGACATTACAGATTCTAACTTCTACATTCCTACCAACTTAAGTTGACTCTAATATATAGCAAATTTAACACAAGTATTCTTAGAATAAACAATAGACTCGTATTTTTCGTGTGTTACACAAGTATTCTTAGAATAAACAATAGACTCATATTTTTCTCATGGTTTTTAATTGACTTAAAAAAAGACGAGTATGTTTTTAAAATAACCCTTTTTACAAAAAAATTTAATTGCAAGAATATGTGGATGTATTCACAAATATTTTTTTATATATTTGAAAAATATTTCAAACATGACAATTATAGGTAATTGGATAAAAAGTTATTAAGTGTAGAAAAGAAAATATATGAATAGTAATTAAAATAAATTAATTTAACAATTTGTATAAACTTTATGTAAAAATTTTTAATGAGGAGGAAAATTTAGGAAGTTTTTCTTTAAAGATAAATCTTTGTGCCAATAAATAAATAACAATTGAATTATTTAAAAAAAACTGCATATGAATTTTTTTTTTTTATGTATTTGATGCACAAAAATGTTCCAATTCTGATAAAAATTGTTACCTCCTTTGTTTTACTTTCAGTGAGTTTATCTTTTTTGAGTATACATGTTCTCATGATCCAAATGCAACTTAGTGATATTTTGCATTTAATTTTTATTCGACTTTTTCCTTTATTTAATTTTTACTAGACTGATTTATTTTTATTATTTTAAGCTCAAATGCAGTTTAAGTGTAGTGTAGTATAGTATAGTATAGCTGATTCTCTTATTGCATTTAACTGTACAACCATAAAAAAAAATCAAAATTCTTTCAGTACAATTACATATATGCAGTTTTACAATGAACGAGCATGTCAGTTCATCACTTTTGAAGTTGAATTTAGCATTAGAGTATCAAGGTTAAAATACGAAGATTTTTTTATAGTTTCCAAAGAACAAATTATACATTTTAAACAAATATTTTGAAACATATATGTAATTCATACTCCAATCTTACATCAGTTGGACATATAGGTTTCAAAATAGCAGTAGTATAGGTTTGTGCTAGCAATTTTCTTATTAATTTTCTAATTAAAAAAACTGTCACACTCAAGTAAGTAGAGTTATTTAGATTCTCAGTTTAAGTGAGGGAATTTTCGTTAAAGATATTTTTTTTTTAAGAAATGTAACATGCATATTTAAAGAAATTAATTAGAAGAAATTAATTAGTTAAATTTAAAAATTATTATTTATCTAAATCAATATGTACTGAATCACCACTGCTTACATAAAACAGCCCAGATTATGGTAGGTAGGTACTTTATTTACGTTAGGCTGCACAGGGGTATTGGTGACGGTCTGGGAAAAATCGGTGAGGATGATCAAAAGACATGACATCACAATTTTGATCCTCTGCAGAGGAGAAGGCTCCCCTACTTTGGTAGCTTGATGACCTGCACGTAAAGTTGAGCACTTTACAGTAGAACAGTTTAACGAGGACCGATACTGCTCACCCTCAGTCCCTAGGCAGGCTGATCAAAGTGGTCACCCACCTGCTTACTGACTGCAACTAGTGATGCTTGACTTCGGTGTTCTACCTTGAACCGTGTCCTTAGTCACTGCGGGACTAGATTATACATTTATACTTTCAATTTCTTTACAAGTCTTACTTACAGTAAATAAAATAAAAAACTATATTTAGTTAAACTTTTAATAACTTAGAAAGTTAGATATTTAAACACTTAGATATTAAAGCTTATAGAAAATCAAATTTTAACATGCAGATGCTTGCTTACCTGCAAAGCAATTCAAATCTTTACACTTTAGCTAATAGTGATAGAGGAAAGCTATTTATTAAAATTTACCCACATGTGAAAGTTTTAGATAATTATGTGTGCATTAAATTTCATTAATAATCAAGTAATATTATTCCTTACTCATATTGCTACACTAAATGCGAAAATGTAATCATCCTTTGAATTTGAAATTTTATTAATGTTTTAGTTTTGAACAGCAGTGCATTAAATTCAAAAAGCTTTCATTAATGCCTTTTGAAAAATGAGTATATTATGCATGAGATTTTGCAGCCTAAAAGACTCACTGTAATGGTAAATACAATTTGAAGTTTTCCAGACATTCAAGGAAAATATACACATCAAAAAAGGATTATTTTTCCTAAAATATAAAATAAGGATTGGAATGAGCATTGATACATTTTTCTAAGTTGATTAAGCAAAGCAAATATACTTGCAACTGCTTCTATTTTTAATGCAAAAGCAATGAAGATAAGCAAATAAATAAGTATAATTTTATTTCACTAACAAAATATAAACAATAAGTATTTTAAACATAGGCTTTTTTATTTTGTATATCACTATTTCAAACAAGTTATTATTTGATTACAAAAGCTGGAACTTTCTTCTACAGTGTATCAATACCGATAAAAAAGGAGGATCTTACAGGGAAATAGTACCAAGTGTACTATGAAGAACTGATATCAAACAAAGCGTGTTTTAATGGCTTCTATGCATTAAAATTAATTTAACCCTTTGACTAGGAATTTTAAAAAATGATTTTTTTGACCCGTTTATTATTCAAAAGGACAAATTAGGTCACAAATAAGGCAAATTTAGTATTAGGGATATTTCTGACCAGCAGTTATCAATTTAGAGGCTGGGACATATATGTCCCGGCCATACTTAATGGTGGGACAAATGAGTCCCGTTAGTAGCCAAATGGTTAAGATCACTTTTTAATTTTTCAACATTAAGTTTTTTTTTGTTAGGCTCTTTAAACTTTTTCTGTATTTTTAATTTTTTAAAATTAGTAGTGATTTTCAATCACGATAATGAATATCTATGATTCTCTGAATGATAATGTATATCTATGATCTCTATTATAAATAAAATCAAAATGTAACTCATACAACCGGTTGCATATTTCTTACTCTATTTACTTACATTTCTAACACTAAAGTGTTATAAATTTTTTTTCATCAGTGTTATTATTTCCATTTGCTGCATGCAATAATGATTATGTAAAAACATTTTTTTGTTCCTATCCTGATTTCAGTTTTTTTTTTTCAGTAATGATTGAAAATTCTAAAGTAAATAGAAAAATTTAATGCAATGGAATGAATGCCTTTTGTTCATTACATTAAAACATAAATGATTATTTAGAACCAGATAAATTATATTATTGATGGGAAAGTAAGATCAATTCATGTTCACTAATGAATCAAAATCAATAACACTCTACAAAAAGAAAAAGAGGATTATTATTGTTTCTAATGTGTGCAACAACTTGTATAAAACAAAAATGATTGAAACTAAACATTATACCTATAACAATATGACAATGACACTAAAAACATGAATCATAATCAGTATAAGTTATATTTTATGCTTAATATGAGTTTAAAGCTCAGTCATAAAAAATAAAGCAAACTGAGACATGCTTATCTTTTTATATAGACAACAACCTTTTAATGAAAGCAAAGCATAAAAAACCTAATAAAGACTATTAAAGCGAAATACTTACAAGGAATAACTTTGTAGAATAAATCCTCATCTTCATCATAATCTAAAACTTCTTGAGAGCCATGAAGTAGTTTCAAATAAGGAATTACAGTAGTGTTGCGATTTAAATCTCCATCAGAGCGCATTGGAATTGGTACACCCTGGCCCAACTTTGCAGGTGGCTTTTTGACCCAGCTAAAGAGAAAAATGAGGATTTCTGAGTAATTAAGTATCTATGATAAAGAAAAGAGTTTCTACATCAGAAAACAAATCGGAGATAAAAAAAAATGTGCAACTCTATAAAACATTTGTAAGGATTGCCGATGTAATACAAACTTGCGTGTTAATGAATCCAAGGTTCATAAAAAATTAGATTTGAGTTAAAGTACTGCAATAGTATTATGAAAAGCTTGTAATTTGTAAAACATTAATTTTCCAATTAAAAATATAATAGCATATGATTTTCCAATTGACAATAACATAAATACATACATTTCATTAGGATTTCCATTTAAAAATCATTAAAATATGTGAAGTTTTTTTTATGGCATTGCTAATACTATATCCGAAGGAAGTTCCATTTGTTTGGCATAGGCTATGTCTAAAAAGATATTTCTTAAAATAATAATCTGAAAAATTATTATTTTTTTGTTAATTATAAAATTTATTCCAATATGTTCTTAAGATTTCTAGAAAAATAAAAAGTTAATTCCAAAAAATGAATGAACTGATATAATTAAACTGAAGGTATATATGTTAGGTATATATGTTTAAAAATTCGGAATATTTTTCAGTTGGAATTATTTATTTTGTTAAAATATATAATTGCTTTCAAATAGAAATGTTTATTTTTACATGAATTTCGATTTCCTTGCAATGTAATCTAAGATCTGTAGATACATGTTCTGCACATTACAAAAATTACATTTTATTAATACTTAATGAATACTATATTCAATTACTTATGTAATATGTACACAAACATGCATCCCCTTCATTTTGTTTATTATAAAATTTGCTTTGCCAGCAAACTTTTTTTATACCATTCAATTAAAATAGGTTAATACATTCTAAATCTTTAGAGCCACCAAAGGATTCAACCATAGTTCTGGAGTTGATAGTCAAAAATTTTGACAGGACTTTTAAGAGAGCTTAATTCTAATTTACATTCGATAAATTTTTTTTTACCAAATCCTTAGAAAGTATTAACATTATTGGTAAGTAAATGTTAATTATCAGTTAAACAGTTATAATTTTCTTATCCGTCTGTTGCTCTGTCTGTCTTATCTGTCTGATTTAATGAAAACATTGATTTAGCCTTCACCCATAACAACAGAAAATCAGAATAAAGATATTAAAAATCTAATTAGCAAGAAATAAATTTGCTAAATTATTTTCCCAGGTGAAAATTTCCTGTTTATTATTACAAGTTGTTTTTAAATTTTAAACTGATTTATAAGTTGTCAGATACAAAATAATAAATTTTTTATGTTATCAAAAACTACTTTAAAAAAATATTTAAAACACTAACTTATGAGACTGAATTTCATAAAGGCACATTCTGCATTCAGGATCCTTTTGCAACATTCCTGGAAAACAAAACACATAATCTTAAAATGTATAAAACTATAATTAAGATAAGGTGCAATGTGTCCTTACTAAATACTTTTCAAAAAATACTTTTTTCTATTTTTTTAAAAAAAGCATAGCATTGAGTTCAATTAACTAGATTGTTTATTTCTTATCTACTATCTTATTTAGATTATTAATAAAATAATAAATAAATGCTTAGAAAAGTTCCCAAAACAAACATATTATACAGAATTTTATTTGGGAAAAATAGAAAAATGAAGCGTGTTAATTAACTTTAAAATGTATGATTACGGTAGAATGTTTTCTAGAAAACAAAACATAAATAAACTTAAAAACAGATCAGTAATAATAATAATATTTTGCTTTTAAATCAACTTCAGGCTAAAATAATTTTCATTAATAACAAAATTTGTAAAACTCATCTAACAAAAATTTACTAGGAAACATTCATATGAAAATAATCTGAATACCCACAATTCATATGAAATTAAGTGCCATACATAAACAAGTTTCATAACAAAAATTTATAATTTATTAATTTTTTAGCTTAAAGTTTTTAATAAATATGAAAAAAAAATGCTTAAAAAAATATTTTCTTGATGGTCTATAGCAAGTGTAACAGGATGCAAAAAAAGTAACAGTTACATAAGTTCACAATTTATTACAGAAGTTCAATTATTACAATTCAATTCATAGTAACACAAATTTTAATACAAAGATTTCAAGAAAAACTGCTAGCTTAGGTACACAAACTAAATCAAACCAAATATGAATTACCTTGCAGAAGTTCTTGTAATGGGCAATCAAGATCACTTGGGATAATAACATCACAATCAGCAATATTTTGGTACAATTTATAGATGCTTTCTCCTTCAAACGGATATTTTCCTGTTGTTATATTGAACCTAAAGTTTGAAGGACAAATTAAAGAATATTTTAAATAACAATAATGTACCAATTTTAAGTTCATGTTTTACAGTTGATAAATAGAAATAAGAATAGAATAAACGTTGCTAGGGGTAACAAAAAGGACAATTTAATCATGCAATAAAAATTAATTGATTTATCGCCAGTTTAATGATGCAAAAATCTATATTAATTAGAAATAATCTCCGCTATAAGAAAGTGAATGTTTCGTGATAACATTTTATTGACATTATTCTCCTTCAAACAGATATTTTCCTGTTGTTATATTGAACCTAAAGTTCGAAGAACAAATTAAAGAATATTTTAAATAATAATAATGTACCAATTTTAAGTTCATGATTTATAGTTGATAAATAGAAATAAGAATAGAATATACATTGCTAGGGGTAACAAAAAGGACAATTTAATCATGCAATAAAAATTGATTGATTTATCGCCAGTTTAATGATGCAAAAATCTATATTACTTAGAAATAATTTCCGGTATAAGAAAGTGAATGTTTCGTGATGACATTATAGAATCTTGTTTGGTGAAGATAACACTATATCAAAGTTGTACTCAGAGCTACAGGGTCAACATCAGTTTGAACTTAACAAAGTCTGATTTAATTGCTTTCTAGGATTATTCTTGGCTCTAGTAAATGCTTAATAACAAAAAAATAAATAAAAGGGGGGGAAGTCGTGACTAAATTGAACATACAATGTTCAAGCCTATCTGATACTTAAATGTTATGAACTCTTTTCATTTTGATGTAAAAACAAAGAAACAAATGAAAAAATATTTAACATTTTAGGGACTTTGGGGGGTCACATATCCTTGGAATTTGAAATTCCAAAATAAAAACTTGAACTGTTGCGGATAATTAATAACCTATTTAAAAAGAAAAAGATTTTGGTAAGTGCAAACATATGCCCTTGATCAGTAAAGTTTTGGTTACGCAGTAAACTTGATGAATTAAAATAAGGTCAATAAAAACTATAGAACAGTCATTTCCTGTAGTATTAGAACTCACTAAACCACCAACTTTTATCACCCACACTGTTATTGTATAGACACCTTAGATTGATCTAAATTAGCAAGGGGAGAAAATTATTTAATATTTAAATTTTCCTAATTATTCTATTTGATAACACCAACAAGTTATATAATAATAAAATACTATTAAACATTTTTGTTTGTAAGTATTGTAAATTGATGATTTCAAATATTTAATACTTTTAATAATTATTCACTAGTTACAGTTGAAATGTACCTGAAATCAAATGTAGTTGAAATGTACCTGAAATCTTGTTTAACACAATAGAAAAATTTTAAATTTTCATTCTTGTAAGAAACACACCAAATATAACTTTAGCACAGCTAAAAAATATTTAAACTATTGTTTTCCCTTTTGTTCAAGAGCCAATAAACAGTGAGCTTGCAGTTTTGCATATATTTGTCTAATAGCTAACATCTTATAACAAACTCACAACAAAGAAACTCTTCAAGATCTCAGATGACAAACATACAAAAATTCCAATAATAAACTGCTATCACTTACAATGTGACACCTGATGACCAAATATCAACTTTAAATCCAGAAAACTGCTCCACACCATTGGCAATTTCAGGTGGCTGAAATGCAGGAGAACCTTGACTAGTGAAACAAGTATCATCTCTAATATAAATGTCCAATGCCTAAAAAAATATTTCGGAATACTTTACTAAACATTCAGCAATTAACATTCATGGGTCAAAATAAATACATAAGTTTACAGAAGAAGGAAGTGAATCGTTTAAAAATTTCTTCCTACCTAAAAAAAGATATCCCATATATGGAAAAACATGAACTGAGAGGAAGAAAGAAATTAGTATGGTAAGTACATTATATCTGCTAAAATATTGAGTAAAAAGGAAAGGTAAAAAAAAGTATGCTAATTAAATATGAAATCATAGTTTATTTTCATAGTTTATAATATTCATAGTTTATAGTATTCAGCTGTCCCACATCAAATAAAAAGCTATAACATTTCCTTTATTTGCAGTTACTACCGGATTTTTATACTAGGTTTCAGTTGTTGTAAACTTTTACATACAAAAGTATATTAATATAATCCTTTAACTAAACAAACCACTTTTTCTGTTCATTGATATAGCAGAAACATATTGTAATATGTTATTAAACTTCCCTGTTATGTTTTGTTTGATTAATTTTTTTTTACCAGATCATTACAGATAAAAATTTTATATGTTTATTAAAATCACACTCTTACTGTCAGCAAACTTTTATAAATTATAAATATTATTTCATAATAATTTAAGTAAGATGGGATAAAGCCGACACAGTTTGAGGCTTGATGTAAATAGGGGTTGTAATTATCCATAATGTAGATGCAACATTACATAGTAAGGTCCAGGCAAAAAGTGATCAAATAATCACTTTTTTGTTGATGTTCAAAAATCGTATTTTAAAAATTGAAACCAAATGAATTATTCAAATAAAATAAAATAAAATGTTATGATTTCATCATTTGCGTTTTAGTTCAGTCATATGATCTCTTACTAATGGCAAACAAAACAAAAATAATTATTTTATTCTTCATCAAAATACATACTACAGTTTAATTTAGGGCTTTACTCATAAACAATTCAAATTCTCTTTAACAATAATAAATAAAATATGAGAGAGAGAAAAGAAAACAGGAAAAAATACAAACAGAAGAAAAAATCTACATGTATGAAACATAAATAGTAGATAAAATACAAATAGAAAGTTAACAGAATTTCAACATTGGATTTTTGAAATGCATAGCTGATGATAAAAACAAATTATCATATAACAAGTTTCTACTAAAATACAATCCAAGTATTTCGTAATATTTTTACCATTCATATCAAAGATTCTACTTCAATTAAATGTTAATTTTAATGCTTTCAATTTATTGTTCACAAAATTGAAAGAGCATATGAAACTACAAAAATATTAAAGGTGAGAAATGTTTCAAAATCTAACAACATATAAATAGTCAACACAGAAAAAAAAACATAGCAATAATTAAATTTCTATTTATGCTGTATTGTATTTAAATTGAATTTATATTACAAGATTAGAAATAGCATAAGATTTTATGATTAATACAAGATTTTCTGTATGGTTAGCTGAACGTAGCTCAATAAAAATATTCAGGTATATCTCCTTAATAAAGGAACCTTTATTACCATCACTGTGCACATACAATGAAAACAATAGGTATTCATTAGGTATCCAAGACCAAGAAGAAGATAGTTTTTTTTAATGCATAGCAATAATATAGTCGTAAGAAACTTTATTTTACCTCCGCTACTCCTAAGTCTGAAATCTTGAGAGTTCCACAGTTTGTAAGCAGTAAGTTTCCAGGCTTTATATCTTTGTGAATAATTCCATGCCCATGCAAATAATCTAATCCATCTAGTAATTGGCAGAAATACCTTAAAAAAATTATCGTTCATCAAACCAATTAAATATTTTCCATCATCCACTATAAGTTTAAAAAAATGTATTTGAACTTGATGGAATGAAGAAAAAAGTATTTTATTAATGATCGAAAATTTGAACAAGATATAGGGAAAGTGTGAACTAATAGTAGGAATTGGAAAAAATAATTAAATTAATTGTGATTTCGATAAACAAAATGTGGCAGTGTCACATAAACCAAATAAAATAATACTAAGACTACTTCAATTTTATTTTTAATACCTAATTTATTAAAAGTTTTATAGCTAGCCATTCCTTTATATAAAAATTTCAAACTGTAACAAAATTTAAATGTTTTTATAAATGACTAATAGGAAAAAATATTGCAATACTGTTGTGAACTAAGATAATAAATAAAACACATAGAGTTCATAAAAAAATATAATGAATAAAGATCATTTAAAGAAGAAAGTAACAAACCCATGAGCTTGCCAAATGGGAAACTTTTTCTTAGGCACTGAGTCTAAAAGCTCTTGCAACACAGAAACACAATATTCAAATATCAGATATATCTTTTGTTTCTCCTCATTACTCATGACTTCAATTAATTTAATAACATTTTTGTGATCCAATTTCCAAAGTAAAGCTACTTCTCTGAAAAAATAAAATTAAACACATTAAAAAAAACCTAATTGGTAACAAAAGCTAAAACATAAAGAAGTTAATATGTTGAAAATAGGCTCTGAAAGTATAAAAAATATCAATCAATTTTAATCTCTATAAAAAAATAATTGTATAAAAAAAATTAATATTTTTTTNTAAAGTTTTTTTAAAATAAAATTTTTAAATTTATTATTTTTATTTTATTTTGTTGTTTCTTTCAAAGTATATATAATACACCAGCTATTTTGAGAATTTTTCTGATCATTTTGAATGATTTAGATATATTCTGCTGTCTTCTTAAACAAAAAAATTAGTTTCTACAAAATTTTAAATTAATCACTTCAATCTTTATATAAAAAAAGCTATTTTCAGGTACACATATGTTTTTTAGAAATATTTGAAACTTAAAAACAAGCCTAAGTTTGTTGTGTTATTAGTAGCCTGTATAATAGTCACTTAGTAGAAAATAAAGAATAACTTTTTTTAAAAAAAAATCCTATAAGTTTAAAATTTTTTATATTTTTTCTTCATTCCTATAAAATTAAAAACAAATCAATTTGATATGCATCTACAGGGATTATATTTTAATGATGACCAAGGCTCTACAAATTTTGCAAAGATGTGACAAATTACACAATTTACTATAGTGTGCATAATTGCCTTGCGTTATATCCACAAAATGTTTATTTTTCTGCAAAATGTCTTCCAATTACCAGATAAACTTGTCTTAACGACTTTTTTTTTCTTTGCAACTCCACCTTCTTTTTAATTCTAAGAATTATTAATGACTATCCTTACTTATTGCAATATTTGAAAAATAGTAATTAAAAAAAAAAAGGTGTCTTTTTCACAAATTAAGTTTTTTTCTTCGCCTTCCGCATAGTTATAAAAAATTACCTCATTCTTGATGCATAATATTTTAGATATTCCCATATAATTTATTTTGCCCTAATGGTGACATATTTAATTACTTATCTAACTTTTTTTCCTCACAGTAGTAGAAAAATTTTATAAAATTCTGCAATTTCAGCAACAAAAAAAAAAAAAAAAAATTTTCAAGCGATTTGAAAATTTAATTTATGAGTTGAGCCTTTTTGGACTATATTTATATTTGGTTGTTAGATGTTAAGGTAACTTATATTTGGCTGTAAGATGTTAGTTTAAGCAGGACTGTTAATTTTTTTTGCTAGTTATCTATTGTTCGCATTGTAATAACAATAGTGATCGGTGGCGTGCCCAAAATATTGTGTCCTGTGCCATAAATGGCACGCTTGCCAATGGTTCGTCATCCCTGTCCTAGTGCATCTGAATACTTTTAAAGTTTTGTGTGTTAAAAATTTTTTATACAGTAGAGAACCATTTATCCGGTATCCAGCACGGTTTTCCTGCCATTTTGAACTAGAACAATTATGAAGAAGAGCGGAAATTTGACTTATACTCGAAGTTGAGTAGAGGAAAATGTGGGAAAAGGGGGGAATTATTCTTCCCATTTGCCCAGAGAAACTGACCTTGAAGATCTTTAGATTGAGAGGGGGCAGGGAAAGGACAAATGTTTCATTTTCTCCTGTGTGTCTGAAAGAATCATTTTTTTGATAAGCTGCCGCCAATCAAACTTAAAGAGTGGCATGGATTTCGTTTTTTCTCTGATTTACGAGAGGGTGGGGAAAATGCATTGCACACACATATCAGTGAACAGTAGATAAAATAAAAAAGAAAAATATATAAGATTTATAATGATAAATTGTTTTATAATTTCGGATAATGCATTTATTAGGAGTATAACGTTTTTTTAATCACCAGTTATATTTATCTATTTTACATCGATTAACAAAACAATATTTTCTAATTGGTAACAAAAGCTTAAACATAAAGAAGTTAATATGCTGAAAAAAGGCTCTGAAAGTATAAAAAATATCAATCAATTTTAATCTCTATAAAAAAATAATTGTATAAAAAAATCAATATTTTTTTGTCGAAATTATAATCTTACACAAGTTAAATTAAAACTTTTATCATTGAATTTCTCTCTAATATTTTTGATACATATAACGAATTAAAGAGTTATTGTGCATGAAATTGTCTTTCATAGAAATTGCAAGCACTTACAACAACCACATTTAATGCAAAGGTAGATATTGTATTAATTGATTCCACCGTAAATGAGACACTCAGTTTTTCATACCAACACGGTAGTTTTGCTCTGAGGTGCCCATGTTGTTTTGGGGTAGCGATCATTTCTTAGAATTAATAACTGTCAATGGCATATGGTTACATAGAGCAATGGTTAGCATATCAGTACTGTAACTGGTAGGTTCCAAGTTCTAATCAAGCTAGAAGTTTTTGGTTACCTTCTTTAAAACTGAAAAATGTTTTCTTTTATATTTGAAATAGATAAATTAAAAAATATTTATACCATAATTCACATCAAAGCTCAGTTTATAATTACAGGGATGTGATTCTTCCGCGGATTTCCGTTTTTTGTCAGACTTTTCCATTTTTCCCGCTAATTTCCGCGAAAATTTTTTTTTTGAACAAGTTAAAATATTTTAGGAGGAATTTAATTTTCCGAGGAGCGAAAGTATTGACGTCCTCATTCTTCCCTCAGAAGTTTCTCTAAAAATCATTTCCTTGGGATAAAACTGATTGACCTTTATACAGGGATGAGATTTTTCATTTTTGCCTCTCAAATTTTAGCCTTTTTATCAAAAACTCTGATTCTCTAAAAGTTTTTTTTTTTTTTTTTAAATAAATATCCCGTTTTTTTTTTTTTTTTTTTTTTTTTTTTTTTTTTTTTTTTNAAATAATTATATTTATTTGCGATTTTCAAAGATAAACAGAAAATTCAAACTATGTACTAGCTGCTAACCCTTCCGTATTTTTACTTATTTTAGCTACTTTCTGCGCTTTTACACACAGAAAATAAGATTTTCCGTATTTTTATTCGTCCGCCGGATAGCTCGTATTTTCGCAATTCGGACGTCGTGACCCTGCTGTCTGGCGTAAGAGCAAACGAAAAAAAAAATTTTTTGACGTGGATTTGAGGTGAAAACATTTATTTGCTCATTCAATTAATTTTGAAAATTTCTATTTATTAGGTCTAAACAAAAACAATACAAACAAGAATTTTAGAAATCCCAAGTCAAGACTCTGCAAATATCTCGATTGTTATTCACGCGATTTTAATATCAATCATCAATTTTCGTATTTACCTGATTTAAAAGTTGCGCATTGCGATTCTTATTTATGCTATTTAAACATCGTGCATTATGATTCTTATTTACGAGATTTAAAAATCCAATATCGCGTTTTGTATTTATGCATTTTTAAAATCGCGATTTTATTAACAAACATCGTTTTTCGTGTTTACCGGATTTGAAAGTTGAACATTGTGATTGAGCCAATTTTAATTTCGTACATAGCGATTCTTATTTTTGAGATTTAAAAAAACCAATATAGCGATTTGTATTTACGCGCTTTTAAAACCCTATGCAGCGATTCGTATTCACGCGATCTTAAAATCCAATGTCGTGATTCTCTATTGCGGTTGTAATATCAAACGTCGATTTTCGTAATTATATGTGCTTTAAAAATTAGACACTGTAATTTGTATTCACGCGATTTAAAAATTATGCATCGTGATTCGTATTTATGTGACCTAAAAATTACGCATCATGATTTGTTACAAGTTTAAAAATCACACTTTTTTTGTCAAATTTTTGTTTCGTCAATATATATATATTCTAATTAGGATTTTTACACTTTTTAAGAATCATTATTTATGTAGGAAAAGTCTGCAGTTTGTTATGATATCAATAATTTATTCTTAAGTTTATTTAGAGACTAAAGATTATTACATTTTTTAAAGTTTGCAAATTTGAGATTTTTTACTCTAATNTGAATAAAAATTACATTATACACTTTTAATATGAATTCGAAAAATTTCTCGTTATTAAATACATAAGATATTGCATAATTACTACTCTTAATATATATTTTTAGAATATTGCGAAAAAAAGTTTTGAAAATTGTATTAATTAGGAATTACCGATTAGGGAATCAACTAAGGAATCGGGTCTGAAAACATCAAAACCAGTTTGACTGTCTGAAGTAACAAAGAGTAAATTAACTCTAAGTATTACAGCTTATTTTTTAATTTATCGTGATGAAATTTCGTGGTGTTTACAATAATCAAATTTCTCATTCTTTTTATTTCATCTGGTAATCAAACTGGTTTCAATATTTTCAGTGTTGCGTTCCTAAGCATCGATTTATTATATTTTGATACCGTTTGTATTTTTCTCTCGTGAATATTAATTATGACCACTAATGTTCTTTTACTTCCTTTTTATTTAAAAAAGAATTTTACAATACATGAGTGTATTTTCATATTTTTCTTCATTTGCTGATTAAAATGAAAATTTCATAATACTTTAGTGTTCTTGTGTATTTACATTAAAGCCCTAAAAACAGGGTTAAGTGCTTGTTCATGTTTGGATGATGCGTGGTCTTGCGTACTAGCTATTTTTTTTTCCTTACCGTGAAAAAACATACTATCCCAGCTATTGGAGTAATTAAAACTATTTACGGAATGAAAAAATTGGAGCCTTTTAAATTTTTTTAATGTAAATGTTTTTTTAAACCTACAAATGAGTGTACGATATATTTTTTTAAAAAAAAAGGAAAACTGCAGTTTTGTGATGCTTTATAGTATATTGGAAGATCTTTACGTCATTTATTCGATTTTAATTAATCTCACTTTATTCAGCAGCTAATTTTTTTAATTCTGAAACATCTTTAAAAAACAAGAACTAAATAAATAAAATGTATATAGAATGAACGAATTATCAGCAAATATAATTTTCATAATAAATTACAAGCTTATAACTAAAAAGATAACTATCGGTTTTTAAAGCGTTCCCCATATCAGTTCTTCAGAAGGACAGAGAGAAAAAAGATTTTCAAAAGGTAGCAAGACCTCCCACCGAGAAGATTAGTGAACTTGGGGGTAAAAGTTGCCTTCCTTTACTCAAAGGTAGAAAGTGACTTGTGTTTCAAAGGCAATATTACAAAAAGTAATAAAGATAAAATGAAATTAACCTACATTTTCGTGGATAGGAAAGATTGAAAAAATTATTAGTATTTTTTTTTAATTGATCACTCCGATTCTTGAACAAGTAAAATCGATTCAAAGTACGACAAGCCCGCCATAGACTTTACATGTTAAAAGCAGAACTGAGGAGTCTGTTGGTGCAGCACTTTTCTCCCGGCAACCACGATTGTGGACCCGACTTTCTGAGCGCGCCCCGTGTTCTTTGTTCGCCAAGGCGCAGCTCTAGCACTCTAGTGCGACGTAAATGAACGAATCAATCAATCAATCTAACCAGTTAAGTGCTATTTAAATGCTATTCTGAAGAGCTATTTCTTGTGTTATTTGCGACCGCGAGACAAATTTCGCGCCTATTTTCTGTTTATTTAATAACATTATCAAATGTTATTACGTCATATATAATATATAGTTTTTATTAAAAATGGAAAAGTTAATCTTTTTATCTTTGGAAATAAAAAAAACCTTCTACCCAAAATCGGTAAATATATCTGCATTTTTTCCTTCTATAATATTTGTATTTAAATGTTTTTACGTAATATTTTATCCATCATTTTATTTAAAATGAAAAACTTAACATCTATGTCTTCGGAGTTATAAAAACAACGTTTTAAATTTGTTCAATATATCTGTATTTTTTTCTACAATATTCGTGATCTTACTAATTTGTTTTAAATTTGTTAGAATTTCTTACGTATAGATGTTTTTTCTGATTTTAAAGAAGTTTGAATAAATCCTGTAACCCTTTTGTAGGTTCCCATTGAGGGTTCAAAGGTGAATAAACTACATAAGAAATGCGAGAAGTAAATTAGCAATGCATATGGTAATAAGATGATAAACTCTAAACAATTATTGGCAGAATATTTTCGACCTTTCTATGACATTCTAATATATTTTCGAAATAATTCATTAATTAATACATTCTGATATATTCTCTAATATATTTTCGAGAGAAATTATTAGTTGTAGCAAATATATATGTTATTAATTTGAAATAACAGAAACCCTTTCTGTTTACAAAAAAAGATAAAAAGAAATTTTCATGTATAGAAACAGTATATAATTTATATAAAATATACATATCTAATAAATCTTCAAATAAAACAATACATATTTTAATATTGGTGACATTCATCCATTCTTAAAAGCGATCTATTTTTAAATTTCCATGATTTCAGAATTACTTTTTATAATATCAATCTGAAATTCTAGCTATCGCCAGTCATTATGGAATTTTTTCTTCTCAAAGGAAAGTAAAAGAAATCAGGAGTGTTTCTTCCCCCTCCTAAGAAACTAAAAATATAATATTATGGAATAAAGCTAACTTTCAGTTACTAAATCATTTTATACTTTTTTCAAAATAATACCCAAAATACATCGAACATATACTCAGACTATAGGCAGTGGCCTTCAGCATAATTTTATGAATAGCTATTTATATGAAAATATCTTTAAAGATTTGCATAATTATTTACTTAAATATTGTTTTGATTTTTGGTAAACATACAAGTACACTTAAAACTATGATTTTATGTATTTTTTGTTTAATTTGTCCATAGTTCTGCACATAACAGATTAGTACATAACAGATTCAACACATTAGTTAAACATAGACATTATCATTTGTTGTTTTCTTGATTGAGTTTGTAAACTATCTTTTAAGCTGTACTTTTTTATTTCTTTTTGTTACAGGTTATTTAGACATTTCCAACAAAGTTTTGAATTATAAAATAAAGATATATCTTTTATCATAAAAAAAAATGTCTCGCAGGAAGCAAAAGTTGGATCATGCTACTGTTGTAGAAAACAATAATGATGTAGTAGAAAGAACTCCTTTGAGAAGGTCAAAACGTAAACTTGTAAACAAAGAGAACATGAACCAGAATCTTAATGCAGACACTGCTATTGAAGAAGACACTACTAAAGTTGATAAAACCCTCTTAGAGAATTCAAGCAGTAATTCTGTGATCAAAAAAAGAAAGGATCAAAAGCTGAAAGTTAATGAAACAGTTTCAATGTCTGAACACGATATTATGATCAAAACCCCTAGAGTATTGATTAAGAAATTAAAAATAGACGGCCAAGTATTTTCCCCAGAATTAAACAAAGAGAACATGAACCAGAATCTTGATGCAGATACTGATCTTGCAGAAGACACTACTAAGGTTGATGAAACCCTTTTAGAGAATTCAAACAGTAATTCTGTGATCAAAAAAAGAGAGGATCAAATGCTGAAAGTTAACAATGGAACAATTTCAATGTCTGAACAAGATATTATGATCAAAACCCCTAGAGTATTGATTAAAAAATTAAAAATAGACAGCGAAGTATTTTCCCCAAAATTAAAACGAATTTCTGTTGATAGTGGTATCAGCTCAGATCTTAGTTTACAAGATGTAAGTGTTTCATCAACAATGTTAAGAATGTCAACCGAAACTGAACTGATGTCTTCAAAAAACTCATTTAATATATCATCAATTATAGATTACAACAATATTGATGTTCAAGGGAAATCTTCAGAAAAGCCTAAACGGCAAAGGAATACAAAAAGAAAAGTAGATGATCTCGTAAATACTAGCATTTCATTGGCGGAAAATGAAAAGCATATGTCGAAGAAAAAATTAACTTCAGCTAACATATCAACTGATTTTCAAAAAGAAAAAGATTCTAAGATTTTGTTAGATCAAACTAAGAAGGAACTAGTTTTGGAAGATGATAGCGAGGATGAAGTTATATCATTAAGAAGATCAAGAAGACTCAAGTCTGTGAATGAAAAGAGCAAAAACCAAACGTCAACAGTTTATCAAACAAGTCCAACTTTCAAAGAAGATCATTTGATCAAGAAATTAAAAAAAGATGACGAAACATTTTCTTCAGAATTTAGCCAAAGTGTAGCTGATATTAGCTTAGATCTTAATTTGAAAGTTGGAAGTTCTTTATCTACGATATCAAACAATATAAAAGAAACTGAATATATATCTTCAGAAAAGTCTTCTAAAATGGCATCAACTATTGATAGCAATAGTCCTCAAGTAAAGAAATCTTTGGAGAAACTCAAACCTCTAAAAAATGGTGAAATAAAAATTGATTATCTTGTAGATACTTGCATCTCATCTGATAAAAATGAAGAGCTAGCATCTAAATGTAAATTGGCTACCAAAAATATATCCATTGAATTCCAAAATGAAAAAGAGCTTGATACTCTATTAGATTCATCTAAAGATAAACTGTTTTTAGGAAGTAATAAGGATGTTGCTATTGTTGAAGGTAGTATTGCAAATAGCTCATCAACAGGAGAAAAAACTATTATGCAAGTTCTTGTTCAGCAAGAATTCAATGCAGAGACTGAATGTAAAATATCAAGTTTAAGTCAAACAAAGACAGAAAGTAGTAATAATGATTCCAATAGTGAATCTGATTGGGAAGAAGTTGGAGAAAGAAGTGAGTTAAGCTTGGAAGATTATAATCCTGCAATTCCCAAGGATGGTGTTGAAATAACAATAGATTGCCCAGACCTCAAAAGTTTACGTAAACAGAAGAAGAGAGAGTATGAGATGGATCAAATTAGACTTTGTATTAATCGAATGCGGAGAGAAGAGCAATTGAATATCCATAAAACTCATTTACTATGTCTATTAGCGCATGGATTATTTGTGAATGATATTTTGAACTCTCTTTATTTAAAAGCATTCGCTCTTTCCTATTTACCGCCTGATTTATTAGCAGTTACAGCTGGTCGAAAAATTGACAAAGCAAATTCTGGTGTTATACGCAATATAGTTACCTGGTTTTGTGAATCTTTCAGCTTTGAAAATAAAGAATTACCCTTCATTGATTTCCAAAAAAATATATTTAGCTACTTTCAGGAGCAAAAATCATTAAGTCCATCAGAGTACAATTTAATGTTTGTAGTTTTTGCTCAAACTTTAGGTTTTAAAACCAGATTTTGTGTTTCTTTTAATCCTGTTAGTTACAAAGCTAAAAATTTATTGAAGAAATCCAGATCAAAGATAAAAAATAGTTTGTATGAGCATAATCTCAAAGTGGAAAATAATTTAAAAACAGAAAAACCAATACTTACTGAACAAGAAAGTTCTAAGGAAAAATCAGTGCTTGCTGCCAACAATAAGAAAACAAAATTGGATATAACACTGAAAAAAAAGAAACCTCGACCCCAGCGATCGAAGAGTAAGAGTTACAAAATGAGTAGTGACGAAGATGAAAGTGAAGTCATAAAACTTCAGCCACAACGATCTAAAAGTAAGAGTTGCAAAATGAGTGGTGACGAAGATGAAAGTGAAGTAGTAAAACTTCGGCCACAACGATCTAAAAGTAAGAGTTACAAGATGAGTAGTGATGAGTACAAAATGAGTAGTGACGAGTACAAAATGAGTAGTGACGAAGATCAATATGAAGAATGGAAGTTGCAACCACAGCAATTTAAAAAGAAAAGTTATAAAATTAGCAGTGATGAAGAGGATGATTTTGTTGAAAAGAGAAGCTCTCAAAGGAATAATAAAAAAAAAGATAGGTTTAAAAAATTGTCTGAAAAACCATTAAATCGTAAAATCTTATCTAGTAATTCAGAGCCCAATTTTAAAAAAAACTGCAATTTTGAAAAAGATAAAATCATATGTTGGTGTGAAGTTTTTTCTAAGCGAGATAAACGATGGATTTCTGTTGAGTGTACTAACCAAATTATCGATGAACCTTACGATATTGAAAAATTACTTCCACAACCTGTAACTTATATTGTAGCTTATGATAATGATTGTTACATAAAAGATGTTACCAAACGCTATTGTAGTGAATATATGACTTCAGCTTTAAAATTAAGGCCTGATTCTGAATGGTGGGAAGAAACAATTGAATACTTTTCTCCTCCAAATTCTAAATTAAATAAAGAGGAAGAAAAGAAATTGGATGAAATGCTAATCAATAAACCATTACCTAACACATTCAAAGAGTAAGTTTTTTGCTATGCTAATTTATTTATAAATTTTAATTACTAATTACAGCATATATCATAATGAATCAAATTTATCTTAACTTTAAAGCTGGCCGGACTGTGTAGGGGTCAGGGAACTGTCCTTGCATCAGAAAGGTTCTGGGTTCGAATCCTAAACAAGGCATGGATGTTCTTTCTTTCTATGTACTATCTGTCCTTACAACATTGGCCCACCTAATATGGTGCCCCTAAAAGAGTGGCCAACATATTCTTATCTTTAAAAATACTAACAAATGTGCTTGTATTTATCCTAGTATTGATTCTATTATTTTTATTTTCTGAATTTTTAAATATTTTTTTCCAGGTATAAAAATCACCCACTTTATGCCCTTAAAAGACATCTTTTAAAATTTGAGGCAATTTATCCACCTGATGCAGCACCTGTAGGTTTCATTCGAAATGAGCCAGTATATGCACGAGATAATGTTTGCATACTTCGTTCACATGAAAAATGGAAAGAAGAAGGCAGGACAGTCTGTATTGGTGAGGAACCATACAAACTTGTAAAAGCACGTCCGAAATGGGACCACGTAAGTTTCGTGGATAGCAAGCAAACTAATATTTTTTAGGCACATAAATATTTAAATTAATTTTATTCTCAAACCTGAGATTTTTTTTATAAAGGGCTTTGTAAACCATTATTTTTCATATTTTAGTTCTGGGTTATTGCATCTATTCTATTGAGTGGCCATATTTATTTTCATTTATTAATTTTACAATATCAGTGTTATGTTAAAAAATAGAATGTACAAAGAAATATTTACTTATCTATGTGTTGAGTGTAGAATACCAAACACAGTTCCCACAAAAGTATACTACAAGTAATAAAACAAAACCAAGACAGCCGGTGTCTAAAAAAAATTAAGCTACCATATCCCTTTTCAAAATTAATACATAAATTATATTCATATTTTCAACTTTTTTTTAAATATATATTTTTGATAAAAAGAAAATAAACTGCTTGAAAAATTTTTACCCATAGGATAAGCAAACAGTTGTTTTCTAACTGGAGATGACCAAAAAAGAGTTGTAGTGTTGTGACTTATATATTTCATTCATATTTTAAAAATTTAATTTTAAAATGTGAATAATTTAACTTCAAAATTTAATTTTATAAAAAAAAAATTTTCATATGAAATTGCTGACCAGAAAAGTTTGTTTCCTTTGATCAAGAATAGAAAGGTTTGAGAATGATTTCAGAAGTATTTGAAGATACAAGAGTCGATTGATTTAGCAATGATTCTTTTTACATTACATGTTTAAATTTTGTTCCACCCAAATTCTTATAATTAGTAACAGGGGTCTGTTTAGAAGAAATTTGGGTTCGTTAACGGACCCTTCACAAAATATTTTAACTTAAAAATCGACCCTTCACAAAATAATTTATCTTTCAATTGGACCCTTCACAAATTTGTTTATCTTCATTATTGTTTTGTTAATCGAATAAACCCTTCCGAAAAAGGGCGGGGGAGAAAGACAGGTGTAAACGAGCTAAGCTTTGTCTTTAGCAGATGCTTCTTCCTTTATTCGTCCAAAATGAATATTCTGCTGCAGCAGTGTAGGCTATTTTAAATATTTGTATATTTAATTAATATTGGTATTTTATTATAAATATTTGTATGTTGCATCTCTAATTTAGTAGCAGCAATTGCTGTTTATTTTTTAAAATTTAATTTTTTTAATTATAATTTTACAGTGTTGCGCATAATCTTGTATGTCTTTACAATAACAATACCCTATTTGCACAAATTCACAAAAGCAGGAGCCTGGTTGAAAGAAGGTGACTTAACGTTTATTTTATATTCACAAATTAAGAGTAATTTTTTCACAATTTTACAAAAAACGGACCTTTCGCAAAATGTCGGAACAGACCCCTGAGTATGACACACAAAATTTTTTTTTTATAAATACAAATTTTGCAATTTCAGGTTAACAAAAAGATAATAACTGATCTACCTCTTCTTGAAGTGTTTGGTTATTGGCAAACAAAGCTATATGAACCACCAGTTGCGGAGGGTGGAAAAGTCCCTAGGAACAAATATGGAAATGTTGAGCTTTTCAAGCCTTGGATGTTACCTCGGGGGACTGTACATTTGAAAAGTGAGCTCATTAAATTTCATATTAATGCCTATGCTCGTAAAATCTTGAACTTTAATTTATTAATGCTTGAGTCACATTTTCTTTCAAGAATATTTTTTATAGTTTTATTAAATGTTGTGAAATTGCTTAGAAAATTATTAAAACGGAAAATTTCAATTAAAACTATCTGATATTCCTAAAAAAAATTCTTTTTACAGTTGTATGTGCTAGAATAGTTGTTGAATAAAATAAATAATCTCATGGTCATCAGCCAAATAATGTTATAGCCAATAAAAATATTGTGGTGGCATCAAATGCTAGGTACATTAGGAATATAAATCAACTGAAATTTATCTCAATGTTCTTTTATAGTTATGGTGGTCAATTTCACCTATTTTCTATTGGTTATCTATTGTCAAATAGTTTTAATTTTTTAGTTTGATTTAATTTTTCGCAGCAGTTTTTTAAATAAATATTCAATTAAAAATTTAAATTGTACATTGCATTTTAAAATAAATTTGCTCTATGTTACTTATTTCTGTTGCAGATCCAGGTTTGAGTCGCATTGCAAGAAAGTTAGGCATCGATTGTAGCCCAGCTTTTTTTGGTTTTGAAAACATGTGTGCTATGTATGTATATTTTTTTTATTTAATTTATGTATGGGTCATTAATAATGAGTCAGCTGCTTAAAAAATATTTTAAAATCAAACAATATTTATCTAACTTGTTGAGAAGAATAATATCTATAATTTTATACCATAAATTGAAGAGATTGATTTAGGAGACCTTCCACTAAAATGTCCAATGAAGACTTATTTAATTATTGATTACTAGGATATTATGGTCAGGATGTAAAAAAATCCTGTTTTTTTATTGTTATTAAATGAATTTTTTTTTCTGAGGGTAGTAATAGTAAGTTTGGTCTGTTGACAAGCTGAATGAGAACTTTCCACATGAATATTAGACAAAGAATTACTACTGAGACTAATATCAGAGTTTAATGAAACTAATATCATAATTTTTTTATCTAATATCATACCTAACATATAATTTAAACTAATATCATAATTAATATCATTTCGTGCAACCCCCACCCCCCTAAAAAATTTTTTTTTAATTAATGAATTTTCATTGAATTATCTTTGTATATATTTATATACAGTACAGAACCCGTTATCCGGAAATCAAAACCAAAAAACCGGAACGAAATTCGATTAGTTTTCACGCCATTTTTAAAAAAGAATATTTTTTTTTCCTCATAAGATTTTAGGATTTTTCGTTCTTTTTTGAAAGATGTTTACCTTACCATCATTTTGGAAATAATCATTAGTGTATTACTTCGTCGTTTTTTCTTCTTATTTCCAATTATTTATGTTTTTTTAGTTGGGTTTAACTATAAAAAAAAAACGGCTTTTTGTAGCGATTCAGAAAACCGGAAAAATCAGTTATCCGGAATATTGATGGACCCGATCGTTCCAGATAATCGGTTCCCTACTGTATATTCCAGTAAAAATTAAATAGTTAGTAATTGACTCACTTTTTTACAGAAAGGGAAAAGTTTCACTTTCCTTCTTTTTTTAAAAAAAAATATATGCATTAACACAGTTGAATATTATATAAATTGTGCATAAAGAATTTTAAGACATCAATTAGTAATGCAAGTCCAGAAAATATCTTACTAAATTTATAACGATAAAATCAAGATTTCAAATTAATTTTATTTTCGCTCTAAGATACTATGTGTAGCTTTTCTTCCTTCTGGTGATCAGCTAACTTGTCCTCTTTTTTTGTCTGTGAGTTTTTCCTTTGGTATATGACTAATTTTTCTTAATTTCAATTACACTGTTTAAAACTTAAATTAAACTTTGGCTCATTATTTCGGAAATGACCCTTACAGTTCTTGAAAAAATATTCAAAACATATTGTCACTTTTAAAAACATAGTCTCCCTTTTTATTTGTTCTTTATTATTTTTTATCTTTCTTTTTTTTAATTTGTGAAAAAAAATATTTAAAAATAAAAATTTTAGTTTTAAGTGGCTATAAATTTGTATAAACGTATATTATAATTTATATAATTGAATAAATTATTTCAGAAATCATACCTAATTATTAAGTCATTAGGTTATACTATGCTTATACATTAAAATTCTATTTTTTATCTTTGCTAATGATAAAAATAGAATTTTAATATATAAGCATAGTATAAATGATAAATTACACTATCATTAATTATTCCTTTGAAGATGCAACTAGTGTCTCACAAAACATTATTCTAAAAGTGTCAACTCTTTTTAAGTGTTTTTAGTTTATTTTGTCCAACAAACTTAAATCAAGTGTATTTTAGAGATAAATAATTCAATTTTCACTAGCATAATTAAATTTTCACTATTCCATCTGTAAAGCTTTATGCAAACATAATAAAATGTTTAATTTATTGAGCATATGATGGGGGAATATACAAATTTATATAGTATATATTTTAAACAAATTTAATAATTCAATATATATATTGAAAGAGTCTGTTCAGAGAATTCGGACCCATCACCTCACTTGCTCGTCTGCACTTAATTAAAAAAAATGCTTCTAATGGCAAAATATCATATGCGGCACATGTGCCATAGGTGTCCAACGCCTGGAATAATACATCTCTTGCATTTTATTTGAACAGATATGATGGTTATGTTGTCTGTGAAGAGTTCAAAGATACACTTTTAACTGCATGGGAGGAAGAACAAGTGAATGCAAAAGAGCGTAAAGAAGAAGTAAGTAAAGAAAATATTTTAATTTCTGCAACTAATAAGAAGTACAGTTTATCCCACTTTAAGAAATATCATTGGTTCCAACAAATGGTTACTCAAACAAAGGAATTATTTGGAAAGGGTTTATTGGTTAAGCTTAAAAGTAAATCATTCCACGTAAAGCAACAGACAATTGTTAAATGGACCTTTCACAAAATTTCTTATTACCGTCATGTGGGGCTACTTTGTGCAAATTCGAATTTTTTCCGAGATCGTCTGACGTCGAAAAGTCAACTGAATTAACGATTAACGTCGATTAATCAACTGAATTCCTATCGCTGCACAAAGTAGCCCCACTTGGGGGCTTCTTTGTGCAAGGTATGTTTTGACTTATTATTTGTAAACATTACATACAAATAATGTCAATATTGATCAAATTCACTCGTCTGAGTCCAGTTATGAATATAATATCGATAAATTTTACTAAAGTTTAAATTAACATAATTTTTTTACATGTCGAAGTTCAAAAACTGCGAAATCCTGCACAAAGTAACCCTACATGACGGTACTTAAATGAACCTTTTATCAATATTTCCTTAATTAAAACAAATTAATTGTAATTTTTCATTTTCTTTTCATATTTGTAGATTTTTTATTTTTTTAAAGGAAATTAAGGATTCATATTGCAAATGAAAAAATCCTAACTTGCTGCTCATTCAACAAATGATGAGCTACATTCAATTGTAAGGTATGCAGAATATTCTGAAACATCCACAAGATGGATACTAATACTGTGTATTTTGTGCCAGTTTCAAAAAGGAAAAAAATTATTTTTTCCATCAATGCAAATAATAAAATCTTTCCCTTTTTCATTTGCTGTGTACTCTTTCCTTACTTTCTCTCAATTTTTTTACTTAATATGAGAAAAAAGGCAATCTGCAGACATTGTGACTGCTGTGGTGCAAGATACCAGGTTACAATTTTATTTTTGTTCAATTCAGAAGATCAATTCTCTTTCTCTCTTTAAGCTTATGAATCTCAAGATAGACAGTAAATATTTTTCTTAAATTAATGTGTAATACTTTTTTCTTTTTCAGAAAAGATACAAAAGAATTTATGGCAATTGGAAAAAATTAATAAAAGGTTTGCTCATCAAAGAAAGAATTAAATTGAAGTATGGCATGAAATAGAAGGCAGTGCTTTGCATTTTCACTGTTTTACTACCTCATATTTTTACTACCTTTTTCCTTTATTTTTTTTACAAATTTTAACTTTTTCACATATTCAATTGTTTTTAAAATTATTTCTTTATTTGTGTAAAAAAAAAGTTTCCCTAACTATTTTAGTCTTTATGAACCTGAACAATTGAACAGTTTTCATATTGAATTTTTTTTTTTTATTTGTAATTCTATTTATGCTTATATCAAAAACATATACTTTGTCTATACTTTAAAAAATTTTAAAGTTTTTGTTCAATATAAATATTTTAATAATAACAAGTGAGTTGCGTGGAAAAAAAATCTACTATTTCTTTATTGCAGTGACCAAAGAAATGTGCTAAAAAAAAAAAAAGAAATTTATATTTGTTTTTTAATGAACATTGTTTTTTTACATCAATCAATCAAAAAAAAAAATATCTATCTATATATATACCTCAAAAAACCTTGTCAGCTGGAAATTCAACAAAACAAAGCTTTATTTATGATAGACCACTGTCTTTAATGTTTTAAAAATATTGTTGCTTTATATATTAGTTTAAATTATGTTAGTCATTCCAATATTTATTTGTTGTGCAAGCTATTTTTTTTTTGTCATTGAAAATTCTTTTAGTTTTGATTATTTTTACTGATTATATTGTGAAATTTAATTTGATATACTCTGTTGTCTTTTATGTATATTTGGTGATGCCTGTGAAACAAAAAATTAGTTTTTATAACAATTGTTTTGCCCAATTCCTTAATGTCTGTGATAAAGTTTTTTTAAAATAAAATTTTTAAATTTATTATTTTTATTTAATTTTGTTATTTCTTTTAAAGTATATATAGAACACCAGCTATTTTGAGAATTTTTCTGATCATTTTGTGTGATTTAGATATATTCTGCTGTCTTATGAAACAAAAGAATTAGTTTCTACAAAATTTTAAATTAATCACTTCAATTTTTATGTAAAAAAAGCTATTTGCAGGTACACATGTTTTTTAGAAATATTTGAAACTTAAAAACAAACCTAAGTTTATTGTGTTATTAGTAGCCTGTATAATAGTCACTTGGTAGAAAATAAAGAATAACTTTTTTTTTTAAAAAAATCCTACAAGTTTAAAAATTTTAGTATTTTTTCTTTATTCCTATAAATTTAAAAACAAATCAATTTGATATGCTTCTATAGGGATTATATTTTAATGATATAGGGATTATATTTTAATGATGACCAAGGCCCTACAAATTTTGCAAAGATGTGACAAATTGAACAATTTACTATTGTGTGCATAATTGCCTTGTGTTATATTCGCAAAATGTTTATTTTTCTGCCAAATGTCTTCCATTTACCAGATAAACTTGTCTTAATGGCTTTTTTTTCTTCTTTGAAACTTCACCTTTTTAATTCTAAGAATTATTAATGATTATCCTTACTTATTGCAATATTTGAAAAATAGTAATTAAAAAAAAAAGGTGTCTTTTTCACAAATTAAGTTTTTTTCTTGGCCTTCCGCATAGTTATAAAAAATTACCTCATTCTTGATGCATAATATTTTAGATATTCCCATATAATTTATTTTGCCCTAATGGTGACATATTTAATTACTTATCTAACTTTTTTTCCTCACTGTAATAGAAAAATTTTATAAAATTCTGCAATTTCGGCAACAAAAAAAATGTTTTTTTCAAGAAATTTGAAAATTTAATTTATAAGATAAGCCTTTTTGGACTTGGCAACCTCACAAAAACGAAATGCTTTACACTTTTTCTGGAACCACAGTTTAACATCACGGAGAAAAATTTTTAAACAAAAATACACAAAATAAGTGCACAAATATATTCAATCATTTAAATGTTCTTGTTTTTATTCTTTAATATCATTTGATAATAATATTAAAGTAATATAAAACCAGAAAATGCTTTTAATTGAAATGTTTTAAATGTTTAATCCTAACAAAAATAAATAATAACAAATCAAGTCAGTGTAAACAATACAAAAATCTTAAAAATACAAATTACTGAGTCTGTTATCAAAATTTTTTACCGCTTTAAAGAAATTAGGAGTGTAAAATCTTTCTCTTTTCAAAAACATATTTTCTCAAAGTAAGCAGTTGTTAAATTTAATTTTTTGGTAACTCAAGACATTTTTGCATAATTGAAAAAGTGAGACTGTGTGATAAGATAAAAAAACTCTTCCACACTCAGCTTTGTTACAGTGTAAAAAAAAACATAAATCTACTTAACATTCCACTTTTTTTTATTTGTATTATTGCCCACTTAACATCTTTTCTACTTTCTGTTAGGCATTTTCCGGCAAATTTTTCAATTAAAGACAATGAAACTGAATCCCTAGTGCATCAGAGTACTTTAAAAATTTTGTTTGTTCAAAAAAATTGTTACAGAAAAATTTTATACATTAGAGAACCATTTATCCGGTATCCAGAAAACCGTGAAAAATTTTGCAAGGTTTTTCTGCCATTTTGAACTAGAATGATTATGAAAAGGAGCGGAAATTTGACTTAGACTCGAAGTGGAGTAGAGGATAAGGGGGGAATTTTTCTCCTCGTTTGCCCTGAGAAACTGACCTTGAAGATCTTTAGATCGAGAGGGGGCAGGGAAGGGACAAATGTTTTATTTTCTCCTGTGTGTCTGAAAGAATCGTTTTTCTGATAAGCTGCCAACTAAACAATATTTTTCTTATGAATAAATTCTGATTTTTTAGAAGTGCAGTATTATTTGAAGTTTTTCTTGAAATGGAATCTCATCTGCTTTCGTTGAAAAATATCTGTTTTTATTTTAAAAAGAATAAAAGAAGATTATTTATAAATTTAAGCATATAATTATTTATTACTAATAGCAGAAGATTATTTTATGAAGCAGATTGCTGTTTTTAATTTTTTTAATTCTGGTTTTCTGATTCCATTACGTTTTGAGTTTTTTTTCTTCTTTTCATGATAAATTTCCTACTCAATAAATTCTTTTTATTCATAAATTTTATCAGTGAGTTTTTTTAAAATTCTGTTGATCTTATAATATCCCGCCTTGTTCCGGTTTTAATATTTATGCTAGTGCCTTTTTAACTATCGTTAACTATAATTTTCAAGTGTTGTTTTTATTTAGATTAATAAGTTTTCCTTTCCCCCTCTTATAATTAGATATGAAATATATTGCGTTATTTAATCATTGGTTTTGTTTTATATTAGTTAATTTGGGTTAATTATTTTTAAAAAATAAATTGGTGAATTTTGTATTTTTTAAACTTTTTTTTCTTCTCTAAACTTGCAAATATTTTTATTCTTTTAAATGTTATTTTTAAAATTTAGGAGAGCTTTTCTTATTTTGAAATGTGTTACACTTTTTCCTTGTAATTTGGGTTAGATAAAACATTGATTAGCGACACTTTTTGGTCGATCCAGAAAACTGGGAAATTCAGACATCCGGGATAGCAATGGTCCCGAGCATCCCGGGTAATTAGTTCTCTACTGTACTTGAAAATAAAGCATTTTTAAATTCTATCAAATTTAACACTTATTCATTAATTTGTCATCCTTTTAAAGTTTGTGGATCATATTGTCACGAATTGTTATGAAATAATTCCTAATTGATCAGAAAAAGGCTTTTTTATTGCCGGAATAAGAAGTTCGATTTTTGAAAATGATTGTCCTTCTCTCCTTTTAATTGTACAACAAAATATCCCACGTATTTTTTATAAAACTTTAATAACATGTTAGTTTATAAAAAATCAGTATTAATCTTTATTTTAAAATTCTCTTGAAGAATCCCTATTTGGTGGTTTTAGTTAACATCAGCCTTTCTAAAAGTCTCAGTTGACATTGAAGATCCAAACTCAGTTATATTTTTTTAGCCAAAGGAAACACATATTCACACTCTGCATATTTGTGGGGAATTGATTAGATTGCCATAAGGATATAACTTATTTTTTTACTTTAACTTTCCCTCTGCAGTATAAATCTGCTATTTCTGTTTACATGTCTATCAATTTTAAAAATGGTTTTTTTAAACGAAAAAATCTGGAGGTTTTCACTTTAAATCCAGAAGAGTAAGAAAAAAAAGAAATATGAAGAGAATGCAGCCTAAATTTGCAAGTTCGGCAAGTCTGCTTTTCAAAATTAGCAGCTCTGTTTGAGGATATATAAGAAGCATAACACTTATTTCTATTGATTAATTTTAATAATTTATTTCAGGCTTCCTAATGAAATAATAACATTTTCAAAAATTATACTTTATTAAAAATATTTAACTCAAAATCAACAGTATAATTCAAGTTTAAATATATAAGGAAAATATTTTGTAAGATATGATTAGTTTTATACAAAAAAAAAAATATTAGTCAATCAAGAAATAATTTAACAATGATTATAAAATTCTTGATACAATTCTCAAACAAATACTGAGTACCTGAAAAAAAATGATAGCATCAAAATAATTTGAAAATTAATAATTTATTTCAAAATATATAAATTTAGAAGCTTATAAACATTTGTAATACTAATGCTTAATAGGCTGATAATCCAGAATTTTCGAAAATATTAAAATTGTGAGGGAAAGAATATTAAAAAAAAAAAGCAGAAAAAATGTTATACATTAATTGAAAATATTAAATTCAATGCGGCATTAATTTATATCTTAACCTAATTTTTCAGTCATATTAAAATAAATTTTTTGCATGACAATTCTTATCAAAAGTGATCTGTATAATAAATAACTTTTTTTATTTTACGACTCTATATTTCTTAAATAAATTTTAGAATGGTTACCATATATCTTTTTAAAATTTTTTATCAGTTTTATTGATTTATCTTTTATTGTTTTATAAATTTATCTAGGCATTTTCCTTAATTCTACATTTAATTGATTTATCAGTACAGTTGGTTTTTACCAAATATGTGTTTTAGACCACTTAAAATTAATTTTCTTCTGATCATTTGATTGTCTTTTGTGATGAAACAAAATAATTCAGTCCATTCATTCTCCTTTTTTTTTGTTGGCTAATCCTTTTCTACCTAAGTCTTTATATTAAAATATTAACTATACAAATTCAGAGCTAAATAATTTTCAATTGTTGTATACATGTTACTAAATATTTTTAATAAATTGCAATTAGAGTATAATAAGTATAATGCAATTATTATAAATGATATGATTATAACAAGTATTAATATAACAAGTATAATGCAATTATTGTTCAGTAATATTCAAACTGTTATTTTTTTACTTTTGTGTATTCTTAGAAAAATAAATGGTATTTTTCAATTAATAATCTAGTGTGTCTTTATGTAGTTATTATTTTTAACTGTTAGCTAATTATCTGCATAGTTTTTATAAAGTACTGCATCAATTTTATATACTTTCTTTTTAAAATTTTTTTTAACATATTTAACACAGCTTCTTTATAAATTTAATTTGTCCCAATTGGGTACTTGTTATACCTGAAATCAATATAATTTGTCTTTAAATTTAATTTAATCAATAAAAAAATATTTTATTGATTAAAAATTTTTATATTAATTAAATTTTTCAAAATTGAGTTATTACTTTTAATGGATAAAGACAAATTAATCAGTGCTTAAAATTATTTAATTTTCACTTGATAGTATTTCATAGCAAAAAAAATTACAGTAAAGCAGTTTTTCCTTTTAAATGAGAATTTTTAAAATAAATTGAGTAATATTTGCAGAGTTAAATTTAGTTATTAATATTTTAAAGTTAAGATCATATTAAATATATAAAGAAGAAATATTCCAACATTTTTTGTTAAAGTTTTTAGTAGTATTTGGAGGTTTAAAGCATTTTCAGAAGTTTAGAAAACTTTTTGATTCTTATAAAAAATTAAAAAGATTTAATTTTGATACAAATGAATATAAAACCAGAACATGACAATTTCAATTAAGTTCTTGTTTCTCATGATTATATTATGTTCCAGATACAATAATCTTTTGAGCTCAAGAGTTCATAAGTATACATTTTGTTCTGAGTAACTTATTTTACTTAAAAATTAATTAAATTTCGTTAAGTATTTGGTAAAATCAGGTGGTTTCAACACCGCTTGTCGAAATTTTGAATTGATCAGGTTTTTTTTTCAAAGAAAAACAATTTTTTTGGGTTTTATTAGTTTTTTATATCACTATTAGATTTCTCAGAGTTAATATATATAAATAATTTAGAAGGTAATAGCTGAAAATTTATTATAATTTTTTAAATAAATTCTTATTACTCCTAATGTGCATCCCTAAAAAAATATGTTTTTAATATTAAGGGCTAGAAGCAGAGACAGACCTTGCATATCAGACATTTGTATGCAGCTTTTATTGTGTGTGTGCGTGTGTGACAATTCAATTCAATTTTGTAATACAAAAAGTTACTTACTTCTCTAGTTTCTTCTGGTGCTATTACAGCATCACAAAGCATTCTTGATGACTTATGTAAGGCACTTGTTTTATCATCAAAGAATAAATCAAATTTTTCAAAGCTATTTTCTTCATAATACTTTTTTAATGCACTAGTCTCTTCTAATTTTATCTTCCAATAAAATATAAAGGTAAATAAATATATGCCAATAAAATGTTATGGTAAATAAATATATGCATTAGAACAAAAAAAATATTTCACATATTTTTACAATTATCTAGCTAGTGAAAACATTTACTGTATTTGCTTGTATGCAACATTTTAATAAATTTTAAAATATACTTTATTGCTGGTGAAAGACAATTTTGCATCTAGGAAAATATTGAAATATATATACAGTGAACTCTCGCTACTATGATATCCGATACAACAACTCCCTCTATTACAATAATGTTTGGTCTAATGGTCCCGACGAACTTGCATATGAATTAATGTTATCCTCCTCTCAATATTGCGATATTCTCTGAAGCAATAAACCCCTGTAGAACGTTTTTTCTTCTTCTAATTTTAACTTTATTTTCTCCATTTATTATTGGTTTTCAAATAATGTAAAAAATCTTATTTTATAACATTTTGCCTTTTTTTCCGGTCTTTTCTGACTAGAAAAGACTCACTGCTGATTATGTATTTATCTTATTTCTTTTCACCACAGTGAACGGATTTTGTATTCCGATTTCAATATAACATCCTTGATGTACATCAACCTATCTGATACTATATTTAACCATAATTATCCCTCTGCAAATTAAATTTTTATACAATAGAGATTTATAGTTAATACATATATAACATTAAAATTAAAAAAAAAATCTTATTGCGTCTCCAAAGTATGTAGGCCTTCGATATATATATAATAATATATCCCTCTACAACAATATATTTATTTGGTCCCCAAAATATTGTTGTAGCGAGGTTTTACTGTATATGAAAATATAATTTTCTTTTTTTTAAGGTTTGCATCACATTTCTTTTTTATAATTTGGATTGTATTATTTTAGCCCAAAAACTTGATCAAGAGAATTTATTCAATAATATAAAGTTAAAAATAAATATATTTTACAAATAAACCATATTTAAAAGTTTAATTAATCAGTTTAAGAGCTTCAAATTTGGGTCTCTTTAGGTATCTCCTTACCCACTGTGTGTATAATTAAAGTGTAATTTAAAATAAACATGAAAATATTTCATTTCATCATAACATCTTACAAAGCAAAATAAGTTAATTTTATGAATCTTAATGATTTGTAGTTCATTTTCTTTAAATTATAAATTATTTAAATACAAAAAAAAAGAGAATTCAGTAAAAGTAGTTTCAATAAGATGTTAAGTAAAGATGAAGAGTATAACAGTAAGATGTAAGATTAGTTTAAATACCAAAATATACATATGCTAAGTAAAATAAACATTCTAGAGCTCCATTGCTCCCTTCTGCATCCATACTCTCTCCATATCCAGCCTATACTAAAAATTCTTTCTCACAAAAAAGTCCTTCGCTTCTCCTCTTTCCCCCCAGGAGAAGGACACTTCCCGTGTCCCTCACCCTCTGACCCTCAAGTCAGGGGTCATTCAAATGCGTGAGAGAGGAATTAGAATCCTGACAACGGCATTAATAGAAGCTGGTATATTTTTTGGAAAATGTCATGAAGTATGAAACAAATCTAAATGAAGCATGCGCTCTCATTCAAAAGGAAGCATATGTTCACACACTATTCATAAACAAATGGTGTGATATAGCTGAATCTCTAAATAATAATAAATAAATAAAAAACATGCTAATTCTACCAAAGTCACTGAATACTTTAAATTTTTAATATAATTCAAATTTTCAAATAAATACTAAAAGGATTGTTCTGTAACTTTAAGTATATGAAGATAACTTACAACAAAAAGATAGAAAAATATGTAGTTGGGTTATTAAGGTCGTCTATTCGAAAATATTAGAGATAAATATTTTTTTCAATTGCTCTTTGAAAATGTATAGGATTTACATAATACTAGAATATTATATGATATATATAATGCTTCAGTACTATAAAACTTACATTGTTAATAATCTAGATAAAAGAGACAATGATCAAACAAACAGATCCTATTTATAATAACAGTAGTAATCATGAAGAATTTAGTTTGAAAGAACAGGAAAAATCCTTTAAATTTATAATTATAAAAGAAACGTCAACGGCATATGCTGATGAAAATAAAAAGAAAAACCAACTTAGATAACTCAAGGCATGTATTATTTATAGATCATGTTGCCACACTTCTTCAAATTTTTTTTTAATGGTTTTATCTTATTTATTAATCCAGTCCACATTTCAGTCTCTTAACACATTAAAGATACAGTAAAAATATATATACATTTGTAAATTTAAAACTATCAAAATAAACGAAACAAAATTTCAACCCAGTTTAATACTATCCTCATAAATATTTGATAATTATTTTTACTCTTATTACTATAATTATTTTCAACTAATATCACTCGAGAGAGGATAAAAGAATAATGATTTTCATGATAATTATTTAATGCATTTCATATATTTAGCATTATTTGAGTAATCGAGTATACTTTCTTTTCTCTCTTCTTTTTTTCTAGTCAATTTTAATTTTCTCATAAGTTATTTTTGCCCATTTCAGTTTTATTACTTTTCAGAACTGCGAATCATATAGTTACATTTTAAAATGGATAGTCATGCCCTGGATGATAATTGTAGTTTAGGTTCTCGAGCTACTTATAAATTTTACCACCTGAAATATTACCAAGCTATTTTTTAAATTTTTTTTACTTATTTATATTACCATCTGAAATACCTAAAAGAAGGGCAGTAAAATTTATTGAATGTGTACAACAAACTCAGAGTAGTAAATGTTAATAGTGGATAGTAATTTCTATTTAAATATTGTTTATTAAGAGTGATGTATTCTAATTAAGTATTTACATTAATTATTTTTAATTTAAAAAAGTTTCTAAATTTAACAGGAAAAAGTGTTATTTGATAAAAAGCTAGAAAGATTGTCTCAGTCTGAATAATGCTAAAAGCTTTGCTTTGTAGCAAAGTGTAAAATCCTTTTTTACTTACCTAATATTATGGACTACTAAATACGAAAGTTTCGATCCCTAAACCCCATTCATAACTAAATCTTTATTGTAATCATATAATCTTAATTTGCTGAACAAGTTGTCTTATTTTTTTTTTCTAAAAAAAAAAGTTTCCACTGACTTATGTACAGTGCCCCCCCCTCGAAAAAAAAGGACTACCCTGAATAATTATTGATCAGTTTTCGTGTTCTAGGACTCATTCTTAATGACTCCAGGGGGTGATCTCAAATTTTGTAATTAATACGTGTAGACGATATTTTAAATTATGAAATCAGGCCTCAAAACGTACTTTCTCTGAATATAAAAACCTTTTTTTTCTCCAGCGGAATTCAATTTCTGACCCCTAAAATATAGGAGGTAGCTACAATCTGGGAAATATGGTCCCCATAGTTTGGTCAAGAGAACAATCCTAAGTTTGGAATGTTAATTTTATTTTTTGCGTATTTCGCTATATTTTTAATAGAATTTAAAAATCTTTGCACACAATTATAAAATTCATTTATCCGAAGATAAATCCATGCAAAAAATTAGTTTTATTAAATATTTTTCATTATTTTATTTAGTAATAATCGAAAAAAAAATTTGAATCGTTAGATACACAATTTTTTAAATGGCGAAATACAAAGTTTGAACGAAATCGGTTAAACAGTTCCTGAGAAATTGAATTATAAAAAAATCATATATTTAAAATTCGATTTCTCAGGAACGATTCACCCGATTTCGCTACAGTTTTATATTTTGCCAAGTAAAATTAGATGTTTTAAAACTATGTAAAAATTTATACACTTTACAACTCAAAAGTTTTTCGTCTATTATTAAACAAAGCAACAAGAAAAAGTAAATATTTACTAAAAGTTATATTTTGCATGGAATTATCCTTGAATACATGAATTTTATAATTGTGTACAAAATTTTTTTAAAATCGCTTTCGAGATAAGGCGAAATTAATATTAAGGAGTCCAAACTTAAGACCGCTTTCCTAACTAAATTGATGGGACCATATTACCCAGACTGCTATAAAATAAAATAATAAATTTTTTAAAATATTTACTAATATTTATTTTTTGTGTGGAATTATCTTTGAATAAATGAACTTTATAATTGTCTGCAAAATATTTTAAATTCGCTTAGAAAGTTCTCGAGATATGGAGAAATACGTAAAAAAGTAAAATTAACTTTAAGAAGTCTAACCTTTGGAGCCTATATTTTGGAGGTTAGAAATCCGAATCCGTTGAAAAAAAAGGTATTTTTAAGCAGAGAAAGTACGCTTTTGTGTCTGATTTCGCAACTTGAAATATCGTCTGCACAAATTAATTCGCATATTTGAGGTCACCCCCTCGAACCATTAAGATTGAGTCCTAGAGCGTGAAGATCTGATCATCAGATCAAAAGTTATTATGGGTGGTCTGCTTTTTTTTACGCATTGTACATTTATATATCAATATAATAGTTAATAAAACTATTTTCAAATGAAAATATAGTTCTTTAAAACAATAAATATGTTGTTAAGTGACAAATCACATTGTAAGTCAGTTTTTACCTTTTGAATCTCAAATCTTGATGAAGATATGTGAACTAAAGGCCAAGAGAGAAAGAAATTGGGGTTAAAATCCCATCCACACTAGAAAACAAAAATTATAAACTATGAAAAGAAAGACAAATTCAAAAATTGTTTTTGATGTGAATAAATAAATAAAAACCACAAATTGAAATATCTTAAAAGATACTTTCTGTCAAATTCAGGAATTAAAATATTTCTTTCATCACTTTTCTAAAATGTTATTTGTGTTTATCATACATTACTAAATGGGAGAATAAAAAAGTCTTTTTTTTTTTAAACAAAATGGCGTTGATAAAAATATTAACACTATACAAAAATAATAAACATTTTAGTTTTACTTATTAATCTAGATCAACAGTTCCAAAGCTTTTTTGATTCACAATGACCTTTTATTATCTAACAAATTTAACTATTTCAACAGTTATTAAAATGCACAACAGAATTAAATAGTAAATTTTTGAACTTATTTCAGATTGTGCAAATTACAAACAAATAAATAGTGTTAATTTTTTTATTTTGAGATATAAACTAACGAGATCAGCAATAAGTTTAAAAACAATGTGTAAAACATTTATTCAACTAGTTTAAAAACTAGCAAAATAAATGTAATTTTTTTTCAAAATTGGAGGTTTTCATATTTACAAATGGTGGTAGATTATAAGTTCTTATTAATCATATTCAAAGTTAAAACGGTTTATTTTATGCTTTTTCTAATAATCGAATATTGATTATTAATAAAGCAAAAACATGAAACAGAGATATTAATAGCACCAATAAATTAGAAGAAATACTTTAAGAATAATGGCAGAAATATACACCATGGACACTGAGACACTATTCCTACAAAGTTAATAAGAGTTATAAAAACAATTATTTATTGCTTATAATAAGATTAAGGTCAACTGATTGAGAATCTAATGTTGGGTTGCTATATAGATCCATAGTTAATATAATGCTATAATTTGCATATTTAGAGGAGAGAATTTATATCCTTTGGAAAAAGTACCTCAATACAAATTGTTGTTTAGCAAATTATACAATTTGTAACAGCTGTTTATGTATATAAACAGCTGTTAAAAATATAAGAAAGTTAAAAATATAGAGAAAACATGGAAAATAATAAAATTAAGATTAATGAAAAGAAAAGAAGAAAAATTATTAAAACAAAATATGATGTGCAGATGTTCAGAATTGGATGATCAGTCAAATGCATAAGCCCCAGTGTTTAGTCCTTAAACATACTAATTTTATTGACCCACTGAAGGGATGAAAGGCTGAGTCAGTCTCGTCTGGTGTGAGGATAGAACCACCCAGAACCTGTAGCTAGGAAGTGCAAAGCACTACCATTTAGTCACAATGGGTGTGTGCATATATATATATATATATATATGTATAATAACGTCGTTGCCGAGTGGAAGGATTAAAACAGGTCTTAGGCCGGGAAGGAGGGTACAAAATTTATTTATTAATTAATAGCCAGAGCAGTCATTAGAGTGTGTAAAAGTGAACACGAAAAATTGCGTTCCTTGGTTATATGTTAGGGAAAATCTCGCAAAGTAAAATCCGGAAAATGTCTTAATTTAGGGAAAGAGGGAAATCTTAGTAGTTGCTATTGGTTTATGAAATAGATCGAACGTTTCCCACACAAGAGCAAAGGGAAAAATGTCCTGCTCTTAATTAAATGCATACTTGAGCCAAAAATAGATTTAAGAACAGGATGTGGCTTTTAAAAGTGTGAGAAAGTATTTCNATCAAAGGGCAAACAGACAATTATTCTTGAGATACTTTGAATTCATCAAATATTTTTTTTTTTTTTCTTTTTCAATCTATTTGTTCTTACTGCATTGTTACTTTATTTTTAATATATATATATATATATATATATACATAAATGAAACACAGTGAGGGAAGGCAATCATAGACTTCTTGTCCATGCTGAATTTACTAACTATAAAAAATCACATTAATTAAACAATTTATCCATTATTTACCAACAATTTATGTCAATTTCCAGTAAAACAATATAAAACAGCAATTTATTAAAAAGGATTAATATTTTTTTACCATTGTGAAATTGTCGTCTTCATAACAGCCTCCTACACATAAAGTAATTTTTGGAACCTGAGTGCAGGAGTGAGCAGATACCATTTTTGCTCTATTTCTCAAAAATTCTAAGAATGAAAAATTCTAATTATAACCATTTTCATTTAAAAAATAAAACTTTTTTTTTTGTAATGCATGAACTATTTTTTAACACATTAAAATTATCAATATTTTACATTTTAAATTAAAAAAATATTTGGAGCAATATGAAGTTTAATAAAAGCTAAATGAATAATAAGTATAAACAAATAAACATTATTTAGTAAACTACAGCTATTAATAATCTAGCAGTAATTCTCAAATGAGACATCAGAGTTCTGTGATGGAAACTCATGATATGATCATAAGTTGGTTATATTTTCGTTTCTCTCAGCTACAACATGGTGCAAATCACACGTCGATATCTGAAGACAAAATTAACGAACACCCAAGCAAATATTGCACTTACAATAATCTGGTAAGCAGCAGATAAAGATGTTTCATAATTTTCCTCATTAGTGGCACCATTTATTGACAAGATTAATTCATGAACATACAATAAAAATGAATCACAAATTTATTAAACTTAAACAAAATATGATGACAACCAAAAATAAAATAAAAAATTTGCAAAGTGTTTTTTTAAAGTTACATGATCGAATTGGCACTAACTCTTTCTCTGCAGTTAATGTTGATATTAATAAGTTAAATGTTTGAATTAAATTCTAAAGAATTAAAAATATTGTATTAATTAAAGCTATTAAAATAATAAATTAATTAAAATTTTGAACAATTATTAAAAATAAGAATGTAGAATTTTTTTTAATTAACGTAGGGAGATAAATTATGAATTTATCCAAAAATTTATATTATTATTTAACTGATCAAAATTTATATAAACATATAAAATTTGTGCATTAGTAGTAAAAATTAAGTACATTTTAAAAATATAAAAAAGTTTGCAGTGAAAAAGAATCAGAAACTTAAAAACTTTAGAACAATTATTGCAATTAATTATTGTTTTATTTACCATATTGATCGTCATTAATCACAGTTTCTTCAGGATTTCCAGAGTTTTGAATGAAGCATAAGGGTATATTTCTTTTTTCACAAAGCTGTATAAAATGAGTTCCTTTTTGTGAATCTTGAAATGACAGAGCATTGCAGTTAGCAACTATGCCAACAAGCATACTAAAATTAAAATGAAAAATAATAGGTATCTTTGTTGCACTAATAATAACATATAATACATTTGATTACACATAGTTTTTAATGTCTTTTTAAGTAAACAAATATTATCTTTCAAAAACTACTCTTATTAGGAAATTTAAAAAAAAATCACAATCAATTTTTTTTCCTCAGAAAAAAGAAATAAAGATTAACATTTTGTATGAATTCATTTTAATTTAAATTACTGGAGTTATGTTCATATCATTAAGAATAGTTCATTGCTTCTTATGGACTGGAATGGAATGGGAATTTAAAACCTCTTTTGATTCATTTTCACTAACTATCACATTCAGGTAAGATTTTTTTAGAAAAAAGATTTTTTGCAGTATTAAATTGAAATTATTTACACATAAGCAGGGTTGCCACAGAAAAAAATGAACAAAATAGTTGCTTTTAGTAGCCTAAAGCATGAAAATAGTTGCCTAAATAAGAACAAAAATTCAGCAAAAATAAGACTAAAATTTTATTAAATGACTTAATTGTCATATACCATGATACATTTAGTCAAGTTGGTGGCCAATACGATAATTTTTATGTCAACGTTAGTGTTCTAGCATAAAATTTTTATATAAAAAAATTAGTATGTTTGCAGAAAATGAAATACTTTTAATTACTAGAATTCATTCAAAAAATACTTTTTCATTAAAAAAAAACACACTTTTCTAAGAAATTTTCCCTTTCATCATTAAATGATTTAGCAATTAGATTATTCATTAATAAATGATTATATATATATATATATATATATTGTGAAAAGTGATTACTCAAATTCAAAATTCATGTATCATATTAAAAATTGGGATCTTTCAAATCATGCAGAATTTCTTAGCAATAACCATTCAAAAGGCGATCGAGAAATAAAATAGACTTAGAATCTATGCAAATTGAACGCATTAAAAAGTGATGACTCAAATTTGCAATCGAAAACTTTATTTTTTAATGTTTTAATTATTTATTTAATTTGTTTAAATTTTATTATTTTTATTTTACATTTCCTAAGAAAAGAAATTCAGTGTCTTCAGAAGATTTCGCGGGCTGCAAGTTTTCAACCCAATTATGATAAAAAACATTGCTAGGAGTACAGAAAAGTCTCCTAATAGTCTCCTTTTCCTGAAAATAGTTGCTTTTTGTAGTCTTTTCAGGCAAAAAAAAGTTGCCATAGTCGCCTGTAGCAACCCTGCATAAAAGAGTAGTACACAAAAAAGAAAGTTCATTGTAATAATTTACTACAATAGGAAAAAATCTCATTTTTGTACAACAGCAAAATGTAAACTTTATGCTGATTTTGTAAATTCTTATGAATTATTTAAATTCTTATAATTTTATGGTATTGTTTTTCATCTTGAATATTAAATACACCCCATCAAACTTTTAAAATATGGCTATTTTGTCTAGAAATATAATGCTTTTTGATATCCAAAAAATTTATAATCTACCTTTGAATAGTTATTTGAAAACCGATATTGCAACTAAATATAGTTAACATAATTCTTATTATTTTCGTCCTTGATACTTTTCTGTAAATAATATAAAAAAAACAGCAAAAGTGATAAATTTACAAATTAATTGTACAGGCAAATTGTAAATAAAAAATTTTTATGCTAACTTTTATGTAACTCCAATATTTAATAAAAACATATTTGATAACATACCTAAGTGTAATTTTTGTTTCTATAAAGTGAAATGTACATATGACTGTAATTCTTAAATAGCACAGTATTTAAAGTCTTCCATTTAAGAGTACATATTTTTAATGAAATGTGCCAGAGTACTTTAAATCAAAGTATCAACCAATAAAAATCCTTTATAATTATGATCACTGCATGCATAATTTGATATTTATACTTTAAGTCTATATAATTTAAAGAATTTTTTTGCAAAATATGATTATATTAAAAAGATAATTTTTGGAAATTTTAAATAAGTTTTAAATATTTGTTCTATACAAGAGTTAAGAGAATTTGAGAAATTTTCAAAACTTTACCAATTCTTTTAAGTTTGAGCGTAGAACAACATTAAAAAAGGACTTACATTATCTTGCACATTTTCTGAAATTTTCGAAAAAGTACACAAATTTTAGTTTTAAATAAACTTTACTGCCATAATAGTTTAAAATTGAAACTAGCCTAAATATAATTTTTTAAAAACTGGAAATACTTTTATTCAAGATACAAAAAATATTGTTCAAAACTATCAAGCTTTTAATGAAATCAAACAGCTTGATCAAATATATATTTTTTAAAATTATAAATCATTACTCATATTAGCATACTAAATCTGAATTAAAACTTTTAATCATTATCTTACTTTTTAATGTAACCAAACCCTGTTATAAGATTACTGCCAAATTTTCCTTTGAATTCTTTAAACATACTTCCATCCAAAACTCTTGATAAAATCTAAAAAATAAAAACATCATTCAGGTTTATAAGTTAAATCTTATACAAAATTACTTAAGAGAACGGTTTCAAAAAATGAATTTACTTTAATCACTAATACACAACATATATTTCTGAATGTAAGGCGAGATTTTTAGGAAAATGTGCGAAATAGCAACGTTGAGAGTGGGTACGCAATTTAGAATATTACAGTTATATATATGTGAATCTAAGAAACAGAGATCTTCACTATCTTAGGCATCATAAGATAAAAATATTCAATCTTGAATATTTTAATGAGTTATACTATAAAACAATAATTAAACAAAATAATTTAAAATAAACTGATAGAATGTATGGATAAAAATTATTAATTGGGAAAAAATCATTAATAAAATGAACCTAAATTTTTTTGATACGCACAGATTTTTTAAAATTATTTATTTTACAACTTACATCGTACATGTCACTTTTGGTAAGATAGATTTTTGCAGAAATCATCAGCAAATCTTCAGCAGGGTAAAGAGGTTTGTGCCATGATGTACAATCAGCAGATTGGAAAGTATTTAGAGTTAAAACAGATTCTCTACACATTTCAAACGCTTCTTCTTCACTTTCAGCAAAATAATCAGTGCACCCACTCACACTGTCAAATGAGAATTTATAGTTTTTAAACAACTCACTGAAATTTTTCTTACTTAATTACTTGGTTAATTACTTGGTTAATTACTTAAGTTAATTACTTGGAAAATATTATAATTACCTACAATGCATAAGCGCACCACCCAGCTCTTGCTCTGTAACTATTTCACCAGTTGCAGCTTTAACCAACGGAGGTCCACCTAAAAATATTACTCCTGGACCATTAACAATTATAGCTTCTTCTGCCATTGTTGGACAATAAGCACCACCTGCTGTGGAACTTCCACAAACAACAGCTATCTAAAAAGTAAAATCTTACAATTAATTAATTTTCATGAAAAATGCATGCATATTTTCTTTTGTTAATAGTTTGATACGATAAGTGTTAGTTATTAAAACCTTAAACAAAATTTTTTATTAAGTTCAGGAAATTCCAACATGCAAATTTTCTCTTAAAAATTAAAGCTATTAATTATTGTTTCTGCTGAATTAATATTACAGAATTCTTTGTACATTTTACAAACTGTGCCTATTGTGGTATTTGTAGCAACAAAATTCTGTAAATAAGCAAAATCAATTTTTGAAAAAATCAACTTCAATTTTGAGATTTTAAAAATTTAATTTTGAAAAACTTGAAATATCTGATGTTAATTTTAAACAACTCATGTAGAAAATGCTGGTCTTTTTCATTTAAAAATTATAATATTCGATAAAATCCTCATTGGCTCCTGGCATTTCCGGCAAAATTAAATTCCTAGTGTACTTTAGCATCCAAAAAGAGTCTCGGTGCTGCCATCTAGTGTGGCAGAAACTAGACGTCCAAATTAACATGACCAACGGTATCTCACCCATTGTGGTGGTCCTGAAAGAGTGGATACCACCTCTGGAGAACGCACTAGGTCTGCTCATCGGCAAGACCGATTGTGCAGCTCATTGGAAATAAAAATAAATAAATAAATAAATAAAAAAATATTCGATAAAATTTTAAAAAAATTTGAAAAAGACCCCAGCATTGATTTATTAATCAAAATTTTAAAAAACCATCACTCAGATTGTCATCACAATTTACAAAGAATAAAAAAAGAGGAGGTTTATTGTTATTGTTTCTAATCCTCCTCTGATAGAAGTCAGATACGTTCCATCAGGTTGTTGACTCCTCAAAAGTCGACAACAGTCAAAGTCCGCAATTGTAAATCCAAGACACTGCAGGATGTGCTCAGATGACATTTCAGACACATTACATTTCTTACAGGTCTGAAAATTCTTTGCCCATCCACAAAGATAAGGCTATTGATATGTCCACTAGCCAATCTAGCCAAGGTAATTTGTGAACTCTTGTTTTCTTCAACTATACTAGTATTGCCTCAATGAAATGCACCATGACATATTGCGTTTGTATTCACAAATCCCTTGTCATTCATTAATTGTAGCAATTCTTCACCTCTGTTATTGCTTGATGAAAAATCTCATGATGTTCTTAGGTAAGATTTGAACTGTCCTCGTCATTCACACCACTTTAATCCACTTTTACTATTTAAACACTAATTTGATGATTTCACTATTTGTAACTCGATTGTTTCCTTAATAGGCAATTTGCCCTATGATTAGTTTTTAAATTTTGTGCCTTTAATATTCTGACTAATTGAGATAACTAATTTTGTTCAAGAGTATTGTTCGCCCGCAAAGTTTACAGGCTGTTGCCATTTGACTTTTGTATCTTATGTATTTTATGCATTTTTTGTATTTTATGTTCTTTAATGTTTTTTTTACTTGGTTTTTAATAAACATTTACCCGTATGCCCTCAATTGGGGCAAGTCGGGGTAAATATTTTCATTGCTTGATGAAAAAACCCACGTGGGTTGTTTCACGTTAAAGTCTCCTATATTATTATAGTGTATTGTCATCCATAAATAATGAAAATTTTCAGGAATGTGTGTTTGTTTAGGAAGATGGTACTATGGATGGAATATGGAATGGTCTGCCTTAAGATTCTGAATCTTGAGATCGGAAGTAGGGACGGTGATATTAATATCCTATTTGTTAATATCTTTTAGTACTCTGAAAGTTCAGTTTTGCCAGAATTAATTTCCCAGAAATTTATTTTGAAATTAAATAATTTTTATAATAAATAAATAATTTTTATAATTAATAAATGTGAACTTAAATATTAAGTTAATTCAGGAATTAATTTGATAATAATAGAATACCAACTGAATTAGTAACATTTTTGTATTTATATGAATAATATTACATATTATCACACAGCTACAAATTTTTCAATAATTATGTACAATGTCTACAACATTTTGTCAATAAATTTGATTCCGTTTTGATACCAATAAACTCTCTCATTTAAAAATAAGTTAATTTTGGTTCAGCTTTAAAAAGATTTTCAACTGTTATTAATGTTTTTATATACAATTTTAAGTTGGCATATAAACAATTTCAATACAACTATTTAGTTAATTTAAAAAATTTTGTGACTTATATGAAAAATTTAACTGCCTAAAAATATTTTACGCTATGTATTATTCTTATCCAGATAAAAATAGTTTAAATTATTGCTTATTTGCACCATGGTCTTATTTGTATCAATATTATATTTTAGAATTTCTTATAATCAAAACAAATTTTTTTTTTTTTTGATGGTTCAGAAGTGTGTTGTGGATATCAAGAATAATTACTACCACAAATAAAGCACAATAAACTGTTAAAAAATTTTGAAACTAGGAATTATGAGTTGACACCATTGAAAGTTTCCTTCTTACTTCGAATTTTTAAGGAAACGAAAATATTTTAAAAATATCTATTAAATTAGATATTAGCCAATAATTGTTTTGCCTAATGCATAAATATACTCTTTCTTTATTATTTTTAGGAGGATTATCTTTATATTTACATTTATCTTTTAAAATTTGTTAATTAAATTTAAAAAATAAATAAATAAATAATTTTGTCTCTTAGAAAGAAATGCATATTCACTAAATTTGGATGATTTTTACAATTCTAATAATTAAACTACAAGCAAAATTAACAGTCACCATTGACCGACCACAACACGACTTTACGTAACAAGCCGTAATTAAATAATTATCTACCAGTCACTACTTTTATCATTGAAAATGCACCCTATGAGGGTATTATTACTTTAAAAAAAATGGAATTTTATGAATATTTTATAATACTACTTTATTTCAAGTCTGTTTCTTAAAATTTTTGTCATTTTAGAAATGAACCTTGAAATGTTCAACCATAATTTGAGAAATGCCTTATTTTATTAACCCTTAATGGACCAATACAGCCATAAGAGGGGCATGGCACTTTCACTCATTGGATCGAATACTGCATGCATGATTTTTATCACACTTATTGTTGTCATGTTTGCAGTCAACTTAGTTATAATTAATTATATACTTATTAATATTATAATTAATAATTGTAATTATACCTGGTGGAAAGCACACTTGAAATACATCCGGATTGTTAATGGTTAATATTTTGTTTATTTAATCTTTTAAAACTTTCAGTCATTGAAGAAGAGGCAACTTTTGAAAATGCTACAAATGGGATCTGGCCAGTAACAAAAGTTCCTAATTTTGCCCTATAATGAAAACTCTAAACTAATTCTTTAAACTATATTCACTATTATATAATTTTAACTCTATTTTCGATATTAACTTAATCCAGCATATATATTTAAGTACTAGTTTCTAGTTGCAAATTAATGTTTTAATAAAGTTAATAAAAAACAAAACAAACCTGAGGAATTTTCAGAGATGACAAAACAGCTTCATGATAAAATGAACGGCCACCATGGTCTCTGTCAGGAAATATATCAGCCTATTAGAACACAAAACAAATGATCATACAAACAAATAAAAAAAATAAAAAAATTAAACAAGCAAATAAAAGCAACAAAAAAAAAATGCCAACATAAAATCTCATTCATTTTTATTTATGAAAATTAATTTAAATTTCATAAATGGTAATAAAATAAATTTTACAAATAATAACCAACTTACAAACTTAAAACTGTTCCATAAAAAAAGGAAAAAAATGTGAAAATAGATCATAATATGACAAAAAGCACTTCTTAAGAATATATGAAGATCAGTTAGTTTAAAGTAAAAGTAAGAGTTAAAAAATTTTTTCCCAGCTGCTTCTAGGGAGATCCTAAAGAAATGGTTTGTCTGGACAGTTGTTGTTCATGTTGTTGAGTGCAAGCGACATGTTGTTGTTGCTGAGTGTTGTTCATGTTGCTGAATGTGAGCACCAAATCCTGATTGGCTTGTTTGTGGAATGCTCACCATACATCATCAAATGCTAAGTTTCAGTATCAGCTATGACACAAATCTATTTCTGTTTGATTTCAACGTTCAGTTGAGATGAGTGCAATGATAGCAAAATATGCTATAAAACGTCACAATATTATATTTAATGCGGAAAAAAGATCTTTGCAATTAAAATACACTTGTATATTAGCTCATAAAATTTTACGTTAGTTATTACTGTTCTCTTTAAACAAATTAGGCAAATACTTAGCATTAATAAAACTTTATTGATAGAATTTGTAGTTCACACATTGGTCAAGAGATAGATGTACTTTAAATGATGCCTGCAATAATTCTGGGTTTAAAGAATAATTATTTTGTTTGTCTACATTTTTTAAATTTTTTTTTCTCAAATATATCTGTTCTGAAACTATAAAAAAAAGTCTTATAAAATGATATAATATTAATGTTTTTGATTACAAGAACTTTGAAAATATTCATAATTTAACAAATGTTTACATACGTAAACATTTCAAAACCCTTGAAATTAGAACAGTATATAAAAATGAAAATTCATTTTAAATAAATAATGTATAAAAAAACACAATATTATAATTAATTGTAATGCCCTTTTCCCACATTAAACAGGAACAGGATTTTTTTTTATAAAATTCAGCAAATTATCACTAAATATCAAATACAAAAATCTGCAGAATTAAATATATTCATTTACTATTTACTAACTGAAAATGATGGGTTCAATTTGTAAACAAAAAATATTTGTTGACAAATATCATAAGTAAAATTTATAAATAGTTGTTATATAAAATAAAAATTAGAGCATAATATATTTTTTTTAGAAAACAAGTGATTATAAAAATGTTTTCTATAAAATAAATGTAAGCATTATTCTAAGAAATATAAAACGTAATACTTTATATAAAATGAAAATTTTTAGAAAAAGTAAAAGTTATTTTCTTTAAATTTTTAATCAAAAAAAAAAAAAAAACTGCTATATTTTTTAAGAAACTTTCATTTAAAAAAGAAATTATTAAATATATGTAACATGCTTCACACTCGTTTCTGTGTTTATTTATTTTGCATTGTGATAATTAATTAAAAAAAATATGTATGCTTAGAAGAAAAGAGCTTATTGGTTCATAATTAATAAAATATTTTATTTTTTCCTTCTTTATTTTGTTTACATCAGGTATTCTGCTTACAATCAAGCTTGAAGGCAAGGTATTAATAAACCATTTTTTCCAACATCATATTGGGGTGTAAGTGAAATGTTAATACCAAGTGAAGGGACTTGTCCTAAGAAACCAGGCCTTAAAATTAATAAGCATGATATCCCCAAATCAGTGAGCAGAGCAAATTTTATGTATGTTACATTATTTTAATTTCAATCTCCTTAAAATACTACGATTACTATTTTTAAATACAATTAATACCTTTATACAATTACCTTTATTAATAACTTTTACTTGTATACAGTGCGAGCAGGGGAAGTGGGCAAAAGGATAAGGGTAGTAGCAGAGCCGGATTATACCTTTCGTAGGCCCTAGGCATAGCCGTTTTTGGGCTCTCCCCTCCTTCCCTCTTTTCAAAATATATGCTAAAATTTTCTTGCATATTTTTTTTTTACANAGACTTAAGGGTGTCTGTTCCAGCTTCTCACTGGAAGCGCATCGCTAGAGATAAAATCATTGCGGACTGGAATGCAGAATTTCTTGCTTCGCCTCGGTCGCTCTGGACGAAAAGGTTCTTTCCATCCATTTTTCACCGTTTGCAATGTAAATTCTTTGCAACTGATTTTAAATTGACCCAAATTTTAACAAACCATGGAAATTTTAAGAGATATTTATTTCGTTTCCATCTGCAGACCACTGGAATTTGTGCTTGCGGTGATGCTGAACATATTCTTCTTCACTGTAGTCTCTATGCGAGTGCCCGAATGAATTTAAAGACTGATTTGAGACCTCTTTCAATTTGTTGGCCACCTGTCTTATCAGAACTGGTCAAAAGTATTGAAAGTCTTGCGGCCTTGCGGAATTTTGTTTTTAATGTAAATTTGTAAATTTTTCTCCTTTTGTTTTCTACTTACAACTGTAAGCCTCATGCTATACTTTGTGGTGCATGAGGAGTTTTAAGTCGCTTAAATTAAAAAAAAAAAAAAATATTGTAAGTAAAAATTTATAAATTGTAGTTTTATAAAATAAAAATTAGAGCATAACATATTTTTTTCAGAAAACAAGTGATTATAAAAATTTTTTCTATAAAATAAATGTAAGCATTATTCTAAGAAATATATAATGTAATACTTAATATAAAATGAAATTTTTTAGAAAAAGTCAAAGTTACTTTCTTTAAATTTTTAATCAAAAATTAAAAACAAAAACTGCTATATTTCTTAAAAACTTTTCATTTAAAAAAGAAATTTTTAAATATATGTAACTTGCTTCACACTCGTTTCTGTGTTTATTTATTTTGCATTGTGATAATTAATTTAAAAAAATATGTATGCTTTGAAGAAAAGAGCTTATTGGTTCATAATTAATAAAATATTTTATTTTTTCCTTCTTTATTTTGTTTACATCAGGTATTCTGCTAACAATCAAGCTTGAAGGCAAGGTATTAATAAACCATTTTTTCCGACATCATATTGGGGTGCAAGTGAAATGTTAACACCAAGTCCTAGGAAACCAGGCCTTAAAATTAATAAGCATGATATTCCCAAATCAGTGAGCAGAGCAAATTTTATGCATGTTACATTATTTTAATTGCAATCTCCTTAAAATACTACTATTACTATTTAAATACAATTAATACCTTTAGTTGTATACTTGTATACAGTGCAAGCAGGGGAAGGGGGCAAAAGGATAAGGGTAGTAGGCATCCATTGCAAAGTAGGCAACTATTTAATGATTACTAAAACTTTATATCTATTAAAACTATTTTCATTATAAAATAAAGTTTTTTTTAACAGATAAATACTAAGCAAAATATTTTACGAAGAATGAAAAATTTTTTTAAAATAAATTTAAAAGTGAAGTTAAAGGTTGTCACATTTTAACTTTTCTTTACAATTAAAAATTTAAGAACATTTTGTTTGAAATGATAAATTTTTTACCACAGATTAACTTCTGCTTACATTCACATAAAAATAAATTTAAAATATGGATTTAGATTTTGTAAATAGGTGTTCTATTCACAAAATGATGTGTTTCCAATTTTGTTTTGTTTTTTGTTTCTTTAATTGATCACATTCCTCTTTTCAGGGGAATCTAATGAAGGAGTTTGCCTTACGCATCCAAACATCTTTGAATGCCATGGATTGTATATGCACAACTAGTAAAATATGCATAGAATAGATAACACCTAATTACACCGAATTTTCACAATACATTTTTACGTAATTCTAAAACGTAACGTAATATAATTAAAATGGTGTAAATCACAAATAAACTGTAGGTATAATCTCAGAGTTTCTTTAAATTATCAACTGGAATTTGATACAAAGTTTTCAATTTGCTTCATTTACCAACCTGCATAGGTAAAAATGCTCCTCCACTGTCGACAAGATATATACAAGGCAATTTATTTAAATAAGCTAATCTTTGTATTCGTTGTTGTTTTACAACTGTTATAGGAAAAAATGTGCCACCTTTAACAGTCGCATCATTTGCAGAGACAATGCAAAACTGGCCGTGTATTTTCCCAATACCTGGGAAATAGAAACAAAATCTTTAAGTAAGTAAGAAATAAAATAAAGATATTACATGCACTAATAAATAACTATATATACACACATAAAAGGTAATATGGTTAAGTTAATAAATAAGGAGCAAATTTAAAAAAAAAAATATAGTATCAGATTAGTAATGAGATAGCTTTTTATCTAAATATATATTATATTTATTAATGGTTAAAATAACATCGTTTAGTTTGAATTATCTTTACATACAACGATGTACATAAGCATACAAGGACATACCAGCAACAACACCAGCAGCAGGAATATCTCCATAATCCATAGACATTCCAGCCAAGATTCCTATTTCAAAAAATGGTGAATCCCTATCAAACAGAAGTTTCAAACGTTCACGCACTAACAGCTTCTTGTTTACAACTGTGTGCCTGTGGATAGCCTTTGGACCTCCACCAGCTTTTATCATTTTATGCAAATGCTCCATGGTATTTTGAGTAACTTTCGATTTTACTTTCACTAAATCCCAATTTTGGTCTTTATAGTCAGTATCAGAACTCAAAACCTAAGAAAAATAGTGAATATTTGCAGAATCAAACCCCAACTAATTTTAGACTGAATAAAATTATAACTAGATTTTTTTTTACAACAAAGCATTCGAAAACAAAAAGATACAGAAATTCCACACAAAATTAATTTGCATTCAATGGATATATTTCTGACACAATATACAAGGTGATTCTAAAAAGATGGGCAAAATTTCAGGAAGTGATGTTACACACCCAAGCAAACAATTTTTATCGAAGAATGCATGGTCGAAAACAAAACGCAAAACCGCTAGAGGGCGTCAAAGTGCATGTTTTCATATGAGGCAAAAACACAAAAAGTTAAGTTATAAAAGCAAATTTAATGGCATGTGATTACAATAAGTGTTCAAAACAGTGGCCAGCAGCGGCTACGCACGCTGTATACAACGGCAAAGAAAAGATAGGCGAACATTCTGAAGCACACCAGGCATATCACGAACTTTCCCTGCAGCGGTTGAAAGCTTGGCGAAAAGTAACACAGTGCAGTAACTCGCAACAGGAATGGAGCTTTCACGTTTGCATCAAACAACTTTTTAAATGCGCCAACACCATTGCGTTTTGTTTTCGACCATGCATTCTTTGATAAAAATTGTTTGCTTGGGTGTGTACTATCACTTCCTAAAATTTTGCCCATCTTTTAAAATCACCCTGTATTCATAAAAAAATTAGAACTAAATATAAATACTTGCTTAAGTTTTTCATAACTTATAAATTAAAAAAAAAATACAAAAGAAAAATACATTTTTTTATTAAAGACTTCTAAGCACAACTGGGACTCATAAGCAAACAAATAGTTCAAAACATCTGAAGTCACAAAAAAAATAATGTTATACTATACTATAAAAATAATAGCTATACTATAGTTGAAGTGGGTTAAATATAGAATATTTACACAAAACTAAAACCGATAATGCAATTAATTTTTTCAGTTTCCTTTTAATTCTTTCAGTTTCCTTTTACACAGTTGAACCTGTTTATAACGAGAGTATAGGGACTAAGAAAATATACTCCTGAAATTAGGCCTTTTGTTTAACTTGAGTAGGCAAAATTTATTAAATAAAGTTGTAACACACAAAAATGAGCCAGAAAATGTTTCAGAATAGGTTACTTTTTATAGTATTTTTTATCTACACAGAAAAGATAAATCAAATATTTTCTTTTTAACATTACACCTTTTTTTCGCAATTGTTTAACGTTTGCTGAAAAATGACCTCTTCAAGTGAGAAATTTAATTAAATTAGAACTGACAAAAAATTAATTCAACTGTTTAATAAGAGCCTTACCCACCTTAAAACTCATTTTTCGTAACGAAGAGTTTATTACAGCTTTCCAACTAAAGCTCAAAAAACAAGAAGAATTCATGATGATCTGAAAGAAAAAAAAATATAAACTAATAATTATGCAATGATATCGTTTTATAATGTGAGAATTTCATATCTAAATGATTAGATTTTCTTTTCTTAAACAATAAAATAGAATGTTGTTAGCTGAATGAATGATAGGTGTTAAAAATCACAGTAAAGTACCTTTAATATAACCTTTTAACTGCAGTAAAATATGGTAAAAACAATAAATATACTTTTATATTGAAAAGTGACATATTCATGATGTTAAAGCTCAAAATATAGGATTGATCTTTGCTGTATTTCAAGTGTACTAAACAAGGAAAACGGTATCACATAGCAAAAAAGCAACATCAAAAATTATGAACAAACTTTCCTAATTTTCATTTGTTTTACATTTTATGAAGAAAAAAAATTAAAAAAATAAAAATTTATATTTGTAGAATTTTTTTTTATAATCATAATGAAATGCATACACTAAATAATGAAAAAGGATGTTGGCACAAAGTGTGAAGGGGTAGTCATGTCACACAAAATCGCATACAATTTTATTAGTTCAAAATACGTCTAACGCAAAATGATCATCAGAATTTTTCAAATGAATAAATAAACTAAATTTCACTTAACTGATTTATTATGTTTTCTTTTATACAAAGAATAAATTTAAAGTATATAATTGCAAAAGCATCGAGAAATTAAATACTTAGCTGAAACTAGAATTTTTTAAACTAAACCATAATTTGTTTAAACTCTGATAATTATTAATAAACATCTAAAAAACAATTTTTAATAATTAGCATTATTTAATCATTATTAATTAATTATTATCAGACAGGAAAGATATCCGAAATGTTGATAATATATATCAGTTCTTAGCTTTGATGACAGTAAATATTTTTAACTTGTAGCTTGGTTGATACAGAATCAACTTTAAAAAAAATCTGACCTAATTTACAGAAAAACGGATCTTAGAAAAAAAAACAGAAATAGGCCGTCAAAATCGTTAAATTTCAAATATCCAATAGCAACAACGATGTCTGAATATTNCAATAAAACCAATTTCGATCCTACATATTTGTTTTTTCATTATTAGGCCAGAAATTTTTTTTTTAACGGCAGGCACTGAACTTTCGTTCTTCGCCTAGGAAGATGCCGGAAGTGTTACTCATTTAACGTTACCCAGAGGGCACCTGTGAACCTAAGTCACGGAGGCGAGCAACATTACCCACGCCACACTGCCACATACCCGTTTATAGGGTGGGCCACATTCACACATCACACAATAGAGAACACACACAGAGAGAAACATCCATGCCCTGAGTGGGATTCGAACCCGCAACCATTGGCTTCACAGTCAGGCACGCTGACCGCTCGGCCACCTGGCCGGCATTAGGCCAGAAATATAAATAGCAACCCTTGTAATACACAAAATTGAGCTAGAAAATGTTTCAGAATAGGTTACCTTTTATAATATTTTTATCTACACAGAAAAGAGAAAATAAATATTTTCTTTTTAACTTTACACCTTTTTTTCTTAATTGTTTAACGTTTGCTGAAGAATGTCCTCATCAAGTGAGAAAATTAATTAAATTAGAACAGACAAAAAATGAATTCAACTGTTTTATTACAGTACTCCACCTTAAAACTCATTTTTCGTAATGAAAAATTTATTACAGCTTTCCAACTGAAGCTCAAAAAAGATGAAGAATTCATGATGATCTGAAAGAAAAAGAAAATATAAACTAATAATTATGCAATAATATCATTTCATAATTTGAGAATTTCATATCTAAATGATTAGATTTTCTTTTTTTAAACAATAAAATAGAATGTTGTTAGGTGAATGAATGATAGGTGTTAAAAATCACAGTCAAGTATCTTTAATATAACCTTTTAAGTAACATATCGTTAAAACATTAAATATACTTTTATATCGAAAAGTGACATATTTATGATGTTAAAGCTGAAAACATAGGAATGATTTTTTCGGTATTTTAAGTGTACTAAACAAGGAAAACGGTATCACATAGCAAAAAAGCAAGATCAAAAATTATGAACAAACTTTCTTAATTTTCATTTGTTTTACATTTTATGAAAAAAAATTTAAAAAATAAAAATTCATATTTACAGAATTTTTTTAAAAAATCATAATGAAATGCATACAATAAATAATGAAAAAGGATGTTGGCACAAAGTGTGAAGGGGGAGTCATGTCACACAAAATCGCATACAATTTCATTAGATCAAAATACGTCTAAAGCAAAATGATCATCAGAATTTTTCAAATGAATAAATAAACTAAATTTCACTTAACTGATTTATTATGTTTTCTTTTATACAAAGAATAAATTTAAAGTATATAACTGCAAAAGCATCGAGAAATTAAATACTTAGCTGAAATTACAATTTTTTAAACTAAACCATAATTTGTTGAATCTCTGAGAATTATTAATAGACATTTAAAATACAATTTTTAATTATTAGCATTATTTAATCATTATTTATTAATTATTATCTGACAGGAAAGATATCCGAAATGTTGATAATCGAAATCAGTTCTTAGCTTTGATGACAGAAAATATTTTTAACTTGTAGCTCTGTCGATACAGATTCAACTTAAAAGAAAATCTGACCTTTTACAGAAAAACGGATCTTAGAAATAAAACAGAAATAGGCCGTCAAAACCGTTAAATTTCAAATATCCAATAGCAACAACGATGTCTGAATATTCAGCAGTTACAAAATCTAAACTAAAATTAAAAGCTGACTCTGGTGTAAAAAAGTAGGTTTCTTTAAACGTACTTTAATATCTGCATCTTTTTTAAACAATTATACAATTCTAACGTTTTGAGTTTTGTTGGTTAACTGTATGTGTTTTAGAACCACAAAGTGTAATAGTTTCAAATGCTGTTACTATCTTTGAAATTTCTCTTTATTGATTATGAACAATGTGTAACTTTTCTGTTTCTTGTGTCAGTCAAATGAAAATCGTCAAATTATTATTGACGCCTGTGATGCATAATTGCCGTAATAAGTACTGTGGTAATAAGACATATACTACTATTAATTATATTGTGCCAGAGTTGGTTCTATTCCGTTTTTGGCAGCCAATCAAACGTCACTGGAGGTAAATAATGGGGATTTAACATTTTCCTGAGTAATAACTATCAAGGCAGTGTGGGAAGAAATTTTATGTTTGTAGATGGATCACATTAGTGAGACTAGGGTGGTTGAGTTATAATAATATGGTGTGATTTCACTAAATACAATGATATTGTATTGTAGAATTCTACCTAAAAAATTTTGTGGCGGATAATTTTCTTATGGGGAGAAAAGTAATCATTTTTTAAAATTATGTCAATTAATAACTCAAATCTAAATACAAAATAAAACTTCAACCTATCAGAAGTTTAACTTATTTTTAGTTTCAGTTTTTGACTTCTAAATAGTAACAGTAGTCAAATATTTTAACTAAAGTAATTAATTTAAATAGAGTAACAAGAAAATTTAATCTAAAGAATAAATATCATTCTTTCTGAGGAAGGACATATCTTTTATCCTTTTGACAGCAGATACATAAGTGCTTCACATATCTTCAGATACATCTTCTTTGAATAATAATTTTTTTTCATGGTTAGATTTTTATAGACACCATTAATGAGATTAATTTTATCTTTCAGGTAAAGAGTTTTTAACTTTTACTCGGACATTAGTGATAGATTTTCCACCATCACAACTGATCCATCCATTTTTAATGCATCACAACTGATTGAAACGAATAAAATTAAATAAATATTCAAGAGGAATGTGATATAAATACAATCTATCGCATTGAATCGTTTTGTTTTAAATTAATACCCAATAGTATTAATGCTGGCTATGTGAACTAAATATAAAAAAAATGAAACAAAATATTCAATCCCTATAGCTTTTATCCTTTTCATTACAGATTAAATCTATTGTGCATATTTGGTAAGAAAGCGAGCTAGGAATTGTTACCTACTTCCTTGGAAATGGATAGTTTTTCCTTTTTATTGCCATAAAAAATTGTCATTTTTTTTTAATAGTTAAATTAAATAAATAGTGAGTAATAGGTGAACATAGACATAAAATTGAAGATAATTGGTTCCAGTTCTCATAAAATTTGAGTTTTAAAATAAATTGTCAGAACTAGGCTGAAAATAAATAAAAAGTAGAATAATCTGTAGTTTACTGTATTTTAATGACACGAGAATTCTCCCTAGGAATAAAAGAGGTCAGGGTGCTTCCTCACTGAAAAAGACACTTTGAATTATGAAAGGGTACTCACTTAACACTATAAAAATTGATCATAAGTGTAATATTATGTAATAACTGAATTTTATTCTCAACAATTTTTAAATTATCCTCTTATACTATTTTATGTTTGTATTTCAAAAAGTAATACTCACTTATTATCAAAATAAGAGAAAATTTTTGTAGTTTATAAAAAATAATTAAAGACATCCTAAAAGACAATCACTGTGCACAAATTTTAAAAGAAAATAGAAAAGTGATTAATTGGTAAACAATACAATAGGTAAATTTTTCTATATTTAAACGGAAAATTATGAGACAATGAATACTAAAAGGTGATTTTCTTTTAAAAAAGGTATTTATTTAAAAATAATTTTGAAATTTAAAAATTCGTTAATAAACTACCCCTCCCCTGCTTAAAAAGAGAGAAACTTATAAAAATTTAACCAGTTGAGACTAATACTTACAAATTTAATATTTGTTTTAGTAATCAGAATTAAATCTATAGTACACAGGCAATTTTAACAGTGTATAATTACTATTTCAATAGTGAATTATTTTTTTAAATGAAATATGAATAAAAAAGGCAGTGTTTTTAAGGGATAGTGGTTTATTTTTACAAAAAAAGACTGGCTCATCAAAGGGTAGTGAGTGCTTATTGCCTTTCTAACAATGCTTAGGAAGAACATTGTGATATTTTGTGGAAATGTGACATGTCTTTTATAAAAATTTTAGGAAGAAAAAGAGCAGGGAAAGAAAAGATGTATTTGAGAAAATTGCTAAAGTGGAAAAAAGTCAAAATTCTGAATCAGTGGAAGAAAACAAACCTAAATTGGTTTCTCTTACTAAAGCAGAAAGAGCTTTTTTGAAAATGAAAGAAAAAAAAGTAAGAAATTTTTATTAATATAATTATTATTTCTTATTAATAAAAATCTATTACATAATTGAGCTGATATAAAAGCAAATCTAAATAGCTTAGAAACTTATTTTAAACATAGGACTTTAATCCTTAAAACATTCTAAAAAAAATTATAATTGCAGCCTAAAATGCCGCTTACAATTTAATTTTATCAGTATTTAAGAATCATTCTTTTAGTTCTGATTGGAAATTGTTTATTATCATAACAAAAGCATGTTTTTCTTCTTATTTTTTTTATATTTGGATTGAAAAAATGTAAATTCAAGCATATTGTACATGACAGTTGAAAATAATTTAAAGTCCTTATTTGTAACAAATAATAATAATAATATAATCTAATAAGTATTTCCTTTTAAAAACTTTTGATGTCTAATAGTTTTTAAAGCTGAAATTTTAAAATTGTCTAATGAGAAATGAATCTTATTATAAAAGAATGCTCTTTTCCATATCATTTCAATTTTTTTCATGTTTTTATAAAATTAATATTAAGCTTCATTTAAGCAAAGTCTTTATTACTTATTTCTCTGTTTTAAAAATAAAATGTTTTGAATTGCAGAGGAGCGAGCAAAATTTCTGCTGCCCACTCGCCATGGGCAATGAAATATTTGAGGTTTATGTGCATATTTCATTTTTTAAACTGCTGCTTTTCAAAGCAGACTATATATACTTTCAGATTAAGTCTGTGACAAAAAAATTGTTTAGAAACCAATATACGTTTAAAAAGCAATAATACACTAGTGTTTTGAAATAAGGCTAAACCATTTTCTCTTCTCTTTTCTCTTCTCTTATGTCTGAAAGAATGGATTTAAGTTTATGTTTAATTTATATTAAATTAATTGATCATTTGATTGATATTATCCATTTATATTCAATTTGTTTAGCGTCAGGAGGTGTGAAGTGGGTATAAAATCAAGTTTTTTTTAAAAAGGACTCCAAAACCTAAATATTAAATTTATTTTGCTGAAAATTTTGATGCATTTTATACATTAGATTCATATAGATTAAATATGAAGCATAACTTATTTATTTTGTTCAATTTGTTTTCTTACAGTAATGCATTCAACAGAACATGTTTTGATGTACCCACTTTACCCCAGATTGGGGTTAAGTGGGTATAGTTCTAAGATTAGTATATTTTTCACCAAAGAATGTATGTAAATATTGTTTTAGAAATAAAAATGATAGTAAACAAATGTGATTATATTTTAAAAATAAATGCTAAAAAATAATTTTTCCCCCGCATTATTAAATTAAAGAGATAATGTGCATGGCTATCAAAATTGAATATCACTTCAGATGCAGTGTATTTTGCTAAACTCTTCTCAATTTCATCAAAAAGCAAGAAAACTGTAATAGTTTTTGATTCATTTGAAATATAAGTGAAAGTATAAAAACTAATATCTATAGTGGTAATTTAAAGTGTTTTTACTATTCATAGCAAGCATGTAGTTTTACTCAATTGAGTTATTTTAAGGAAATTGTTTTGTTTTCCATGAAAAAACTCATATGAAGGTAGAAACTTGCAAGAAAACTCATCTATATCTTTAAACATGCTCACTAAATTGTACCATTATGCTATTTGGTAATTTTTTTAATTGTATAATATGTCTGTTGTATTGTTATTTTCCCTATCATGCTTCATTTTGAAAAATAATGTTTAAAATAATTTTGTTTTCAAGTGTTGAAATTACTATTTCGACAAGTTTCAACAATTACTATTTTTAATCAAGCAAGTCAATTGTTTTTTTAGCTTTTCCATTATAAAACATAGAGCATTAGATACTTTCTAAAGCTAACACAGAAGTAAAAAAAAATTCTTATTATTCAACACTTAACTAAGCCAGATACCCACGTTACCCCACCTCAGAAAACAATTCATAATAAATAGAATTTTGAAATTTATTCTTTAATTTCTATGTAGATCTCTTCTTTAGATGCCCCTATACCAGTTTGAACTGAAATTAATCGTTTTTGACAGTTTTTAACGATAGTATAGGAAAGTTCATCAACACCAAAAACTAGGATGCTGTAAGTTGGTCATGACTGTTTGTAAACATAAAATTTTTTGTCAATTTCCAAAACTGAAATAAAAATGTTTGTCACAATCCCAGTAAATGTCTCTAAAAATATTTAAACATATAATCTCAATTTAAAAGGAGAATATTGATGTTTTTTTTAAACATATATCCTTTTTAATATCCACTGATAAAAATTTTTGTCTGATTAGTATTTTAAAATTCCATGTCTTAAATTTGTAGAACTTTAGATTATAGTTTTGAATTGTTTCATTATTGAATTAAATGTTCACTACTTAACTGACAGATTTATTGTGTGTAAAATTACTCCATGTAATTGTAACACTAATTAAATGTAGAAAGTGGCCTGTTTATAAAATTTATGCTATTCTTTTAATTTTAGCAAATGGAGCGTATTTTGGATAAAGCATCTAAAACTCACAAACAAAGAGTGGAAGTAAGTTTTTTTTTTTGTTATCATATAATATAAATTTCATAGAATAATAAAATAAAATAAATAGTCTTATTGAATATCATATAAATTTCCGATGCATTGCTCCTTGAATTAGTAATATTAATATATTTTAGGGCAATTCTGTGGTTACTCTTGTTGCACGTATTATGGTATATTGCCTTTTACTTATGAGCTTTTTATTTTTACTGGAACAATTTTTTTTCCTGCTTAATAACAAAGATGGCAACAAAGAACCTTTCGTATTTATGCAAGAAAAATCTTGATAAATTTTAAAATATGATTGTATAGAATGGTGAATTTGAAATATGGTTAATCTTGTTACTTGAAAAAGACATGCATTTTTTAAATTTGCATTAATGATTATGTTATCTAAACTATATATTAAAATCTTCATATTTAAAATAACTTCACAAAAAAAAGTCAATTTACTAAATTACAGTTATAAAAAAGATTTAGATGCAAACACATTTATTATGAGAAAAATTCTTGGTTACCGTTACACAAAAATTGTTTTCTCTTGTTACTTTGAAGATTTAATGAGAAATTTACAAAGCTCATTATGAGTGTAACTAAGTTTCTAGAGATTCCTAGAAATTCTAGGATTTCTAGAAATAAAACAAACTAGAAAACTCAATATGTTTTTGTGCTTGATTTTATAACTTAAATATCATCTGCATTAATTTATTAACAGTAACGTACTTGGGATCAGCCTCTAAAATGGGCAATTCATGTTGACTGATATTACATTTTGATAGGTTTTCTCATTTTTAAACTTTTTTCCCCATTGATAAATGGTTATTATTTTTTGAACAAATATATGGGAATATTTGAAATGTTTTTCAATAGCCTAATGTTATGCATCATATGAGGTAAAGGCGTGAAAATTATAAATATTTAATTTAGAATAAAAATATAAAATGTGAGTGTTTCATACAAAAAAAAAGGAGTAAAAAGTCATTTTTATTTTGGAATTCTCTAACAATAAATAAACAATAATCAAATTATTGTAATCAATTAATATTTTTGCTTTGAAAGAAAACATTATTAAAACAAACAGATTCATGTTATTGATTTTTTAAAAATTATTACGAAATAAAATAAAGCAAAAAAATTTTATTCCTGAAAATAAAAGAAACATTGTTTGATAAAAAAGTTATTATAGGATATTTTATTTAAGTATTATTGTATGAAAAGTAAAAAAATATTTGTACATTTTATGTATTTCACATTTATTGTTTTTTTTTTCTTTTCATTTCAGGAGTTCAACAGACATTTAGATTCATTGACTGAACATTATGATATTCCTAAAGTTAGTTGGACAAAGTGAAACTCAGTGTTTTACAGCAAATCCTGTATTAGAAGTCTGGATTGGTTATTGTGGTATTTATGTTAATATTTTGTGTTTGACGTCTCTGTGAAAATATTTTAAATAACAATTCTTGCAAAGTTATAAAGACTAATGACCTAATACTCATTGTGTATAATGATTTAACTTGGTTTTTGTGTACAAAATAGTTGTAAATAAATTGCGTTAAAATTATTCTTATCTTCCTTTTTGTGATATACTACATCTACACCAAATTTTTTAATTTCCTAATAGTTTCCAATATAGGTCTGATTATAGAAAGCTATTATTACTGATCACATTTTTATTAACTTACACTGAAAATATGCAATATCTATATGCATTTAAAATAATTTTTTGAGCTTTGAATCTTATTACTAGAACATTTTAGGGTGAATATAACTCAATTTTGTAGATATGCATTTCAGTTTCAGTGGAAAATACTGCGTGGATAAATTTGGCTTTTTTTTTAAAATGAAAATTGAAATTATTTTGTTAAAAAAATTTAAGAAAAGATTAAAATAATCAAAATTTTGAAAAACTGTTTTTAATGCAAGATATATTTTATTAAAATGTTTTTTGAAATTATTGTGCACTCTATCAATTTAGAATTATCAATGTTTCACAAAATGAACAGAATCTTTTTTTCACCTCTGATATTCGATACAATTGTTATGGAAGCAAAAAATATATGCAATCAGGGTGTTTTGTAATTACAGTTCTTTAATATATATATANATATATGTTTAAACCTCTTCTATGAAATGAATTTTTAAAAAAATGCATGTATAATGGGTCACACATTAATATTTAAATGAAAAAAGAAAGAAAAAAAACTCTATCAAAATCTTACAGAATATTAAAGAAGGTTGGATTAAATACATCAAAATTTGTTTGATTACCACAAAAAAGAGAGAATTGCTAATAATAGGAACACTTTCAAGTGACATCTGATAAAACAAGTTTTATTGTTTTTAATAGTGTTGTCAGATTTCAAAGAGATTTCCATTTTTTCCAATCTTATCTATTAATTAACAATGTCATTGTGTAATTAATAATATCATTTCAGGACTTCATTTTTGATAAAGATTCTGAAAATATATGTTAAATCAGATCAACACTTAACTCCCAAGTATTTACTATACAATAGCACAATTTGGTCAAAATCTTTTGTATAAGAAATACAGCAAACAATACATACTGCCTTACATTATTCAGCCTTTCTAAAATTATGTCTTATAACATTTTGTTACTGAAAGTTTTGTTTGTGTGATATTTTAGAAGCCATACTCCAGAATATTTATTTTCTCTTTCTTATTATTTTACTCATAATTGGGTATTTCCTTTGATGAGAGTAATGTTAGTAAAATGACACAAATAAAAATTGACACCAAAAACAAATATAATTTTGTTGAAATATTTATTTCTTACTAATTTACATTGCTTGAAAGAAATGCAAAAACATGTATTCTTGGACAAAAATTTTGAAGAACATTCTTTGAAGATGCTTATAACTAATTTTTTACAGTTCAGATATGTACATATTTGTCCCACATAAAACAGGTATTAGATCATCTTGCGTTTCTATCAACGTTCCTTTATTTCCAATTTACTTTCAATTTTTAATTTCATGTTCTGCCAAAAATTAAACAAACTTGGAATTTCAATTTTTGCAAATAAATTAAATAACGAAAATTGTCATGATATAAATAATTACCAAATTTATAATTGACTTTTTACCCTGCTCAGAATGTCACTGCAAGTTTTATATCAGATTATTCTATCCATCAATGTTTTATAAATGAAAATATGCACTATTCTACTAATTTACTTTGTATTTAAGGTAGGGTGAATCATTTTATAAAACGCAAACAGTGTAAATTGTGTTTCATAAAATGATTTGTTTAAAGGCTGGAAAAACATATCAGACAGGCCTAATAAATTTTTTTTTTCAACTGAAACATTTGTTACATGTTTTATATTATAAAAATTTACTCTGCACATCAATACTATTCTGCTTTATTGTTGTGCCAATTTTTAGTGCATGAAACTTCAGTTTGCTTTGAATAACTATACGGCTGTTCGACTTCTTATTGACTTAGAGGTAACAAATTTTTTTTTTGGAGATTATCGAATGTAAATGAATTAATAATTTATCATAATATTATTATTATATGCAAATTTTGCTGCATAGTTTATCTAAGTAAACTGTCATATCATGGAACGTTCAAAAATATCAGCAAAAAAATAAATAGATAAATAAAAATAATTAGAATTTGTTAAGAATATTCTTTTTTAAAAATGATGAGCAAACATTTTATTTTTCTTTCTATTTTCTATTTAATTGTCTTATGCCTTATTTTCCTTGATTGTACTGAATTTCTCTTTGTGCTTGCAATTATTTATTACCCTTATGACAGTATGCTAGGACAAATGCTTATTGATCCGAAAAAAATGTTTGAACATGCATGTACTACATCACCACAATTAAAATCTGGGGATAGTTACCACCTAACCTTTGCAGCATGTTCCTCTAATTACCAATGTGTCTGATTTTGTTACTTAATTGTTAACATGAAGTAATTAGCATATTTAATGGAGAATTTTGCAAACCATCAACTTAGTACGTGAGAATCCAATCATCAAAACAAAAATTATTCAAAGTGATATCTTTTTACTGGCTCATTGTATATGTTTTCCAAACCCATTCAGGGTCCTGAATAACCCATAGTTGAAGAAGCTCTGGTTAAACTGATTCTAATTGTCGAATCTGGTTTATGGTATATGTTTTCCAAACCCATTAAGGGTCCTGAATTACCCATAGTTGAAGAAGCTCTGATTAAACTGATTCTAATTGTCAAATTTTCAAAATATCTTCTATAGGATTTAGGTTAAGAGATTCGATAGGATTTCAAATTGTTTAGGTGCTGGAAATTTCCTTCTGTTGGGCACTTTGAACTTAAGCTAAAAAATGTGTGTACGTATGTTATAAGAAACACATTTATTGTTAAAACCCTAAGCACAGTGTTTAATTAAAGCAAGTTATAAATGAAATAAAGTTTTAAATTTTACAACTCAATAAAATATTTACAGAGGCAACAACATTTAAAGCTTACCAGATATATTTCGTTTATTAATTCCATATTGGATAGTCCACGTCCATCACAATGAAATATTGACTGAAGTTGTCCTAATGCTTGATAGATTAATAAATAAATCCCCTTCGTATTTCCAAATAAAAATAAACAAGATCCCTGTTGATAAGCAAAAACCAGATAAAGAAATAAAATACAGTGAACTCTCACTTATGCACTGGTGTAAGGGGCCAAGAGAAAAAAGCGCATAAGTGAAAAACATCAAAATTCTAAAAAGCAACGTAAATTGCAGTGACAATATGAATAAATATGTTTCTAAAGATTAAATGTTAATATTTATACTGTTTTGGTATTTACTAGAATAATACAAAGAAAAAATTTAACATACCTTACGACAATTTATTTTCCTACAAAATAATCTTAATACATGTTTGTTTTCGTTTTTGTCAACGTTATTCTAAAGCAGTTTTTTCCAGTTCACATAAATGGGATAAGGGGGAGTTTCAGAAGCAAAATTAAATTGTAAATAGTCAGGAATAGTGTCTACAGCTTTCAATACTGCTGTGTGATTTGGAGGAACTTTATCGTCTCGTCAGTATTATCCACCACGTTCTCATCATTTACAAGTTTTAGTTAGATATAAATGAACAGTTCTTCACAAAAAATTTGAGTTTTATGGGAGGGGGTGAAACATGACATAATAGATTTATAAGAAAAGTACTTGACGTCATAATATGCTGCAAAATAAATTGTTCAAGTACTTCTGTCACTAAACAGATCACCTCCTTTTATTTACTCATAATGTCCATCTGACTGCAAGTAAGTGATCGCGGTCTCTTTCATCTTTGGTATTCCAGGTGTCTTTTTTTTCTAGAAAACAGCATGGGAGTAAAACTAACCTCTGGACAAGAGGAATGGTCATTTTCTAAAAGAAGAATGGGCTTTCATTGTTGTTGGTGTAACAGATAAGACACCCTATTCAAAATTCTAGAAAGAATGTCTTTCCAGAAACAGCAAAAATGAAAAGGTCACAGGGGGGAGCAAATTCAATAGGATCTAACAACATATATTTCTTTTTATCTGTAACAAGGATTGCTTATTTGCTTCATTTTTAATTTAAAACATTTTTTTTAAAAAGAAAAGATATTTAAAGGATTAAAAAATTTAAATGTTAGCCTAAAATTTCGGCGCATAGTTGAAAAATTTTTTTTCAGAGTGACGCATAAACGAAGGATGTTTATCATTATTTTCCTATCTAATGTACTGGGACCTATAAAAATCGTCGTATAAATGAAAAAGGTGCATACAAGAGGTGGTGCATAAGTGAGAGGTCACTGTAGTCAATTATAATTCGACAGCATGTCGAATTATAATTAACTGTTAATTAATATTAATCTATAATAATAAAATAAAGAATGAAATAAATAATCCCAAGAAACTGTAACATATTACTTAATTAAAAACTTCACGTCTGGCAAGTCTTGAAAATGGGCGCCTGTTTCTGAGCGCTTGAAACATGTCGACTGTTATTTCCTATTTATATATTTTTGAAGCGAATGAGGTTTTTAATCGGGTAATAAAATAACAAGTTTTTCTTCCCATGCGTGTGTGTATCTCTTAAAACTCAGGAACAACTGGTTCTATCGTCCTGAACTTTGGAAAGATGGTATAAGGGGTAGTTTTAATCCCGTATCCTAAAAATCATTCAGAAGAGACATTTAAAAAAGGGAATTTTTTCATTGGTCTAGACTCTAGAGCTTGCGCCATTGAGACTATTACATTACACGGAGCTTTTAAAGTCCGCTTCTAATTTTTTCAACTTTTGAGAAGTTAATCGTTTAACAGTTGTTAGCTTTTTAACTGTTGATTTTTCGATTGATTCAATTCTTAACTTCACATGAATTCTTTATTTAACAATAATTCTTTATCAATATTTGAAATATTTCTTTCAGAAACTTAAACTACAAAAAAAAAGTTAAAATCTTAAAAGATACACGATTTTTACGAACTTGGCTTACATTCTTACTAAATGTGGCTTTTCTTTAAATGCACCAATTGAATTCTCAATTTCTTAATGCATATTTTATATGTATTTTCAATACCTCGAGTATAAAAAAGAAACTTAGATGATTTTAACCCTTTGACGCAGACTTTTCAAAAAACATATTTCTCATTTGTTTCATTATTTTGTATTAATTTATCTCAAAATAAAGGGAAAATTTTATAATTAGCATTTTAATATTTTTTGGTTATAAAATACAGCATCAGACGCTGGTAGTTTTTTTTTTTTTTTCGTTAAGGGTAAAATTTTTGAGCGTAGCTCATTTCTAAACAATACTTTTTCAGATTTGCACTTATCTGCAATTATTTAGATTAATGAAAAATAGGAATTCATCATTGAAGTTTCTTTGATTTGCAAAATCAATTATTGATAAATGTTTGAATATGAATGGAAAAAAAAAAAATTGAACTACTTTTTTGGATGTTATATTTTAGAACAAATATAATTCGGAGAATCTAACAGATTTTTTTAAATAACTATTAGACTCTTTTTCATAATCAAAAATACCAAAGTATATTTTTACCTGTGATTAAAGCCTCAGAATAAAATAGATAAAATGGACACCGGTGCCCCATCTGCGCCAAAGGGTTAAGAGGTCTTTTAATATAATATAACATAATTTCAATTAATTATGTAATTTAATTTTAATTAATATAATTGCCTAATTGTTTCAAAACAATTTATCACTTCACACAATATGGATATTGTTTTTTGAAACAGTCTCCATAATATTGCACATCAACTGCAAAGAGTGTAAATATGAAATAAATATTTATTTTATAAATTTACTATTTGCTACTGAGTAATTATTAATTTACTATTTGCTACTGCTACGGAGATACTTAAGTATCCCATTTTGCCTAGTCTTATTCTATCATTGACTAATGGTAATTTTATAAATATAATGTAATAATTTGATAATAATGAAATTTTTGATTTTACCTGAAGACCAGCCAAGGATTCAGACAAATATATAACAACAATTATCCACATGTGCCTCAAAACGATGTAAAATAATTCTGGTTTTAAGTTCAAATACAGAACTTGTAAAGTATTTTCGATATAAGTACAAGAATCAGCTAAAGCCTGAAAATAAAATTTGGAAAACAAAATGCATCACCACAATTGTCATGATTTTATTATGCCTATTATGTTATGTTAAAAATTATAGTTTTTGTACAAAGCACTGAATTTCTTAGAGCACAAAATAATAATTTATTTCATTAACTCTGAGACTCACACTTTTCTTCTTAAAGTCATTTTCACGCCTGTTAACGAAATCAAAATATGTTTCTTAAAGATTCTATCAGTATTGGCAATCCGACTAATTTGGGTAATATTGGTGCCCTCTAAAATGTAAATCAAACACTAGGCATGCCTGCAATTGAGAATTAAGCAATATATTGTCACATATTGTTGGTATCTTGACCACAAATTTAATTTCGACAATGCCAAATTTTTTATATCTCCCAGACACCAGCTTAACTTAATGTTTTTGAGTCTTGTTTCATTCATATGAATGCTATTCCTAATAAATAACGTCAGTTCTACCCGAATTTTGCTTTAAAATGTATTATGTTCTGATTTGCCACCTTCTGCTAACGCTGTTCTTATTTTGTTATCCCTATTAATTCCCTTTTTTTTTTCGTTGGCAGCTGAATCTTTTCCTATTTCTAACTTGTTCTATTTTTATCATGTTGTTCTATAATTACATGTCATCATGTTAAGAAGGAGCGTCGTCACTGAGAACTTGAAACTTATTGACTTTTTTCCATTTCAATAATGAAGTTAATGTTATTTTCCTTTGTAAATTTCATGATAATATCTTGATCTTGAGCCGCGATGGCTCAGGGGATAGACCGTTCGCCTTCCAATGAGGCGAACCGGGTTCGAATCCCAGTCGATACGAATTCCGCATCCGGCTTGCACTGACCACAGTGCTGACGTGAAATTTCCTCAGTGGTAGTCTGATCATGAGGTAGAGTGCCGTCAGGTGTTTTCGTGGTTTTTCTTTCTATGTAGCGCAAATACAGGCTAGTTCCATCGAAAAGTACTCCATGAAGGCAAATTTTTTCTCAATACTTGATCCAGGAGTTCCCTTGTCTTCTGCATTGGGTTCAAAATTGCAAGGCTACGGAGTTGAACATTAGTAGTCGTAAACCCATAAAATTGGGTCGGCTGTTCAACGACGGTTGCAAAAAAAAAAATATCTTGATCTTATTTCAGAGGTTAAAAGGCGATAGTAATATTGTTAGCATTTAAATACGAAGATGCTTATGACTTATTAACAGTTAAAATATGATATTTTCAAAATTACTGAACCATTACAATTCGTGCAATACCTTTCAATGATATTCCTTTCTGGTGTTAAGAAACTGTTAAAGTTACTGACACGTAATAAAAGATATCCCCATACTTTGGTTTTTAAAAAAAATATTGTTTGCAGTTTCAATACAATACCTTTCCTATTATTTCTATGCAAATATCTTTCGAGGAATTGCGGCGAGCCATTGGTTGAAAAGCGGCAGAAATTTTTAACAATGTACTGCCTTAAACCGGAATTGTAGAGAATGAGAATTATGGATCTGGGAAGGCATACTTTGTCTATTAAATATATATTAAAGTCTACTAAAATTCAAAATTTCTGGAAGGTAGGAAAAATTTTTACTGTGCAGTTTTTTATAGAGTGAAAAGAAATGTAACGACTTTTTGCTTTTAAATTTAGTTTTGTATGCGACCACAATGTTTTAGTCGAAGGAAATAGTGGACTCAACCAAAAATAATCTAAAATATATGTGAAGGTTGTGTGTGAAGATGACAATGAGAAAGCTGTTGTCTACTATTGGTTGTAGTGCGAGCAATGTGTTTGGAAAAAAATTTCTTTAGGTAGTCTAATTTTGTTATTGAAGTGCATTATTATTTTTTGAGATATCACAGCAGTGCTTTTGAGTTTTGCGAATTTGACTGATCCTTAATGATTTACACCGGTCACACGTAAAGTGCGAAAAAAAGTCGACTACTCTGAATAACTCTTGATCTATTGATCAGATCTTCACGTTCAAAGACTCAATCTTTATGGTTCGAGAGGTGGACTTAAAAATATAATTATTAATAAGCGCAGACAATATTTTAAATTTCAAAATAAGACACAAAAACATACTTTCGCTGAATAAACATAACCTTTTATTCATTTGATTTTTGACGCTCAAAATATAGAATGTAGCTCGGCAAAGCGGTCCAAAGTTAGAACCCCTTAATGTTAATTTTACTTTTTAAACGGATTGAAAAAATTTTGTTCCCAATTATAAAATTAGTTTAAAAAGTTCTCGAGATATGGCGAAATACTCAAACAGTAAAATAAGCATTAAAGAGTCCTAAATTTGGACCGCTTTTCTAGCCAAACTATTGGGACCATGTTTCTCAGATTACGGCTTCACCTTATATATTAAGAGTTGGAAATCCAATTCCGTTGAGAAAAAGGTTTCGTGCCTGATTTCGTTACTTAATATATTGCCTGCACTTCTTAATAAGCATATTTGATATCCCCCTCTCGAACCATTAAGATTGAGTCCTAGAGCTTGAAAATCCGATCATTAGATCAAAAGATATTCAGGGTCCGTTTTTTTTTCTTTACACTCTACATTAGACATAATAATAATGAACAACAGTCATCATATTAAGTGCATAATATACATAAGATATTTAAAAGCATTGAAAAAAAAAAAAAAACAATGTTTAATTGATGCAAAATTCTGTACTCTAGCTTTAATTCTTGGATAGTACATATTAAAAAAAAAATTTTTGGAGGTGAAAAATTTGTACTCACATTTGTTTGCGTAACACCAGCGCCAAGGCGAACCATTCTTGTAACGTAGTAGTTAAATCTTAAGCCAATCTAAAGATATATTTATAATTGATTATAATTTTATATCAAAGTATTGTATCGTATGTTTTGAGAGCGTAACAGTGCATCGCATTTATTATTTCAAAGCAGTGTAACAAAAGCTAATTAATTTTCAAAAAAGATAAATTTAATCTTCAAAGTTTCACCAAGGGAAAAAAAAATATGTAAGAGACACGGGACATTACAAATGAAATTTTCGGATTTTTTTCTGAGGTCTAAAACATAATCATTGCCTACCAGAATGATAACTTACCTAATGATTACCTACCCGAAAATCGTATATGTGGGGGGGATTTTCGCCAAAAATGCTCTTAAAAATATTGTGGCTCCTACAGATTTTTTATTTATATAAAAGCGTCATTACGTTAGTTATGTAAAAGATACGTCAAACATTACCAAAGCTGTGGCACTGTGATCACGTTTGTGTAGAGGCACCCAATTTTATCACCGATGCTTGTAGCGTGAGGACATCTTGAAACATGTAGCTTAGCCTAATCCTTGTTTTTTTAAATTTCTTTGTTGCCCATTGTTAGTATGGACAGTCATCGTCGTCTAGATGATGTCACAAGAACGCGGATAGTTGAAAGACTCGAGGCGGGCCCATAATAGGTTATCTGTTGTAGGGACCTCTGGGCTTCGAGCAATATGTTGTCCACTCTGTGGAAACAGTTCAGAGAAACAGGAACAATGGTCTGCTGACTTGGTGAAAGGCGCAAAAGGGCAACAATGCCGGCTCAAGACCGTTATTTCAAACTTCTTGTCAAAAGACGTCCACGACAGAGAGAAAACTCAAAACTGTCTCGCCACCTGTATAATGGCAACGGGAACATCCCTTTCGCAGATAATAGTCGCCCAGAGACTCAATGCAGGTGGCCTGTTTGCCAGACGCCTTGTAGTCTGCATTCCTTTGACTGTGAACCACAAAAAGGATTGTCTAGGTGCCGAGAACACCTGTCTTGGTCAGAGGATGGTTGGGGCGGTGTGTGGTGATGAGTCGCTATTCAGTCTGGACAGCTACTAGAAGCGTATTTTTCTCTGGAAAGAACCCGGGAGTTGCTGCCGGCTCTCTAACATTGTCGAAAAAGACCACTATGGTCAAGGCCAGATCATCGGACCACTATGGTGGTTCGATGATCTGGACAGGCATCATGGCAGATGGGCATACCGACCTTCACGTGCTTGATGGAAGTACTCTGATTGGTACAGGAACGAGATCCTTGTACCCTATACGCTGCTTTTCCATGGAGCATATGGGCGAAAACGCCCTTCCACACTGGGCTCAGTTGGTGTACGAATATCTCCTATAGGAAGATATTCGATTGGAGTTGTCTGTGATGTTTTCAGACGTTAATTCCCTTGAACACGTATGGGACCCACAATTGCTGCTCGAAGGCCAGCTCCCTCGGCCATCGATGAGCACAAAGGTGCCTTAGTGCGCTTGCTGCAGGGATTGATAGGAGCCCTGGTGAAACAGTGTGAAACTCCGATAGAGTTTGTAGCTCTTAGAGGTGTCATACACCCTATTAGACATGTTGTGACTGACAGACTCTCGGTTAGGCTGCTGTGCTGGGCAAGTGACCAGTTTCCTTATTTAGGGTACAGGTTGTACCCATTTTTGTTTTCCGATATATTGGTCTTATATTGGATAATATTTTGGTCAGGTTTCGTTTTATTTGCATCGTAAGTTTTTTATTGCTAAAAAACCAACTTTTCCCTTCAATTATTTTCACCAGTGTATGTTAGGTCTGCAGAATTGGAAAGTAATATGAAAGGTTCATACGTTCCTTATAAAGTTTAAAAAAGTAATTTCAATATTGTAATAAAAAAGCTAATAATTTCTTTTTATTAGATTTCATCGTAAAATTAAAAATACGGAACCGAAGATTTCGCTACTAGATGTATTTATTTGTAATTATTAAACATGGTAGCGAAGACAAATTTACTCGAATTCATCATATTTTCTCAATTTTGCTAACACTTCAATTTTTTAAGGACCTTAGGATCCCTGATAAGTATAGGTAAATTGACCATCACTCCTCGATTTTATGCGGACATCTCTCTTAAAGTTGAAGCTGTGATGACCACCGTATTTATGGTGTGACTCTGCCATTATATTAGTTTCTTTTTACTGGGAAACTAAGATTGGACTATGTATGTGCCCTATACACACAAGTTTTTTNGAATTGCAATTAGCAGCATACATCCAAACATCGATGAGATAATTAGAAACTTGCAGCCACATACATCTCATTAAAGGGCAATTTACTGATTTTTGTGTTATACAAAAAGTATTTTCTTAAAATTATAAATAAAATTAATATGAGTCAAATATGATGATGTTTTTATTCGATGAAACTAAAGAAATGCGCGAAATATACATCGTATTTGTGAACATTTATCTCTAGGGGTCGCCAAAAATTTTCTCTCTACAAAAGGGGTCGCAGTCGAAAAAAGTTTGCGCACCACTGGTCTAGATGATGTCACAAGAACGCAGATAGTTGAAAGACTCGCGGCAGGCCCGTAATATAGGTTACCTGTTGTCGGGACCTCTGGGTTTCGAGCAATGTGTTGTCCACTCTGTGGAAACAGTTCAGAGAACAGGAACAATGGTCTGCTGACTAGGTGAAAGGCGCAAAAGGGCAACAATGCCGGCTCAAGACCGTTTTTTCAGACTTCTAGTTAAAAGATGTTGTTGTTAATTTACGTCGCAGTAGAGCTGCACAATTCTAGATTCTAGTTAAAAGACGTCCGCGACAGAGATAAAACTCAAAACTGTCTCGCCACCTGTATAATTGCAACGGGAACATCCATTTCACAGATAATAGTCGCCCAGAGACTCAATGCAGGGGACCTGTTTGCCAAGCGCCTTGTAGTCCGCATTCCTTTGACTGTGAACCACAAAAAGGACTGTCTAGGTGCCGAGAACACCTGTCTTGGTCAGAGGATGGTTGGGGTGGTGGCTGGTGATGAGTCACGATTCAGTTTGGACAGCGACTAGAAGCGTATTTTTCTCTGGAGTTGCTGTCGGTTCTCTAACATTGTCGAAAAAGACCACTATGGTCAAGGTGGTTCGATGATCTGGACAGGCATCTTGGCAGATGGGCATACGTGTTTCACACAAACGTGTTTGATAGAGGTACTCCGATTGGTACAGGAACGAGATCCTTGAACCCTATACGGGGCTTTTCCGTGGAGCATATAGGCGAAAACGCCCTTCCACACTGGGCTCAGTTGGTGTACGAATATCTCCTATAGGAGGATATTCGATTGGAGTGGTTTGTGATGTTTTCAGACGTTAATCCCCTTGAACACGTATGGGACGCACAATTGCTGCTCGAAGGCCAGCTCTCACAGCCATCGATGAGCACAAGGGTGCCTTAGTGAGTTTGCTGCAGGGATTGATAAGAACCCCGGTGAAACAGTATGAAACTCCAATAGAGATTGTAGCTCTTAGAGGTGTCATACACCTTATTAGACACGTTTTACTTTGACTGACAGACTCTCGGTTAGGCTGCTGTGCTAGGCAAGTGACCAGTTTCCGTATTTTGGGTACAGATTGCACCCATTTTTGTTTTCCGATATATCGGTCTTATATTGGATAATATTTTGGTCAGGTTTCGTTTTATTTGCTTCTTTAGTTTTTTATTGCTAAAGAACCCTTCAATTATTTTCACCAGTGTATGTTAGGTCTGCAGAATTGGAAAGTAATATGAAAGGTTCATACGTTCCTTATAAAGTTTAAAGAAGTAATTTCAATATTGTAATAAAAAGAGCTAATAATTTCTTTTTACTAGCTTTCATCGTAAAATTAAAAATATGGAACCAAAGATTTCGCTACTAGATGTATTAATTTGTAATTATTAAACTTGGTAGCGAAGACGAATTTACTCGAGTTCATCATATTTTCACAATTTTGCTAACACTTTAATTTTTTAAGGACCTTAGCATCTCTGATATGTATAGGTAAAGTGACCATCACTCCTCGATTTTAAGCGGCCATCTCTTCTAAAGTTGAAGATGTGATGACCGCCGTATTTATGGTGTGACTCTGCCATTATATTCGTTTCTTTTTACTGAGAAACTAAGATTGGACTATGTATGTGCCTTATACGCACGAGTTTTTTTTTTATCCCGATTTTACGTAATACCGCTTTGTGTGTTTCTTAACGCTAGTCCGACGAAAAGTGTTAATCGGGGTTCCACTGTATTTACAAATATCGGAATTATTTAAAATAGTCACTTCTCATCTATTGTTATCTAATATAGACTTACCCTAATGTATACTAACTTTATCAGATTTTAACACTAATAATGATATTTAATTGGCGTATGAGTACGAAACAAATAATTCGAAGAAGATAGAAGAGAAAAATATGTATATGTGCTTAAAAAAATCTTTCAAGTTTTATAGTTGAATTAAATGATAAAGCTGAAGAAGTTAATAAGCGTTTTTACTGCACAAAACGATGCTCACCGTAAAGACTCGTGCGTATTGAAAACAGGGAAAATCATAGTTGCTAACGAAAGAATGGTTGGGAAAATAATTGAAGAATATAATGAAAACCATGGTAGTTGAAGGGACGGTGGTGATGAAGGTAGCACATATCGGATCAGAATTTATTTTCATGCACAATGATTGATTGGGACAGAACTAGACTTAAGAGTGAAAAAAAATTTGAGAGTATCAAGATGAGATACAACTTTAGGTTATGTATGTGTGTGAAAAAAAGGAAGGATCTTGGTGCAATTAAAATATAAGTTTGGGAGAGACCAAGGTCTTAACAATGCGTAGCAACTGGTTTGCTAGTCCCTTTATGGTGGTCATATCTGTCGTGTTCGTATAATCACAATTTCAAGAACAAACAATTTATACCTCAGATTTCTTTTAATAATCAGGTACCTTATGTGATTTAAATAACGATCTTTAGTAGTGGGCATAGAATGTTTGTAATTGAAGTATACTTGCTTGTTGAAAGACTTCATGGACAACCTCGGATACCTGCATTGTTAATTCGCTTTCAACTTTTGAAACTTGATCTTTTACAATGAAGCCATAATCACTTTCAGTCTGACTGAGGACTGCTAATATTTTGTTTCTTGTCAAGTGAAGGTGATCAAACATTGCATGAACATTGCTCAGAGCCACACAAAGCTACAATATTTAAGAAAAATAGTGTAATGAAGGTTAAGGGATTTAAATGGTGTCCCGAAATTCACGCAAGATTTGAACTAAGCGAGTAAAGTGCTGCTAATATAAAAAGAAAAAAAATACAGTTGACAGTTCAGCAGGTTTATAAAAAATGGAGCGCAACACGAAAGAACAAAAAGTTAAAAAAAAAAAAATTTGAGGATTATTTTTAGTTATGTTGAGTCATTCTCTAGTGATGTAATTTCCAATTTCGGTTATTAGAATTCGCCCCCCCCCAAATCATCATGCTATTTAACTAGGAAGAACTTTTTAATTTATTTTTTTTTGTTGAGATTTATGCCTACAAAATCACAACCACCCAGGTCTTCAAGGAGGCTATTGAGAGCGGTATCAACGAATTTAACCACAATGAAGAAGGAAAATTTCGACAAAATAGTTTCCATGAGTCAGTACAAGAGGCCATTTAGCTAACATGCTTGCTGTTCTATTCAAAATCCTAGACTGTATACTTTATAAATCAATTAAAAAAATCGTAATTTTGAGCATAAAACCTGCTTTTGCTACAAAAATTATTTCTTGTGTGAATTTTGGAACACTTTTCATGAGACTAAAAACTAATAAAATAAAAGCACTTACTTTCTCATCCACATTAAATTGCTTTATATCAGAGAAGAACTGATTCTCTCCAATTTTGTTATACATAGCTTCCACATAGCCAGTTACGCAGGTTTTAATAGCCTATAAGGAATACATTGAAAAAAAATAATTAGAAATTGTGTTGGTGTTTCTAATGTTACTTAGGACAAGCCACGCTCGCCAGCCACCTTTTGTGAATTAAGTCAGGAAGATGAGTCTTCTATTTGACTAGAGGGCACCGCAAGGGTGAAGGTACGTCTTAGTTAATCAAATGTTTCAAAATAATGGCGCTTACAAACGAACAACGTCCTCTGTCTTGCATTCATCTCTAATTAACATGATAACTGTCTGCAACACGTTTCATCTAATTTTGATAAAGTACAGCAGTACTTTAACGTATCGTCTTAAATGTACAAAATCTCGGTTTCACGTTCCAGCATGGTATTGTCCAACTTTCCATAATCCAGCAAAAGCTTTCCCTCTCTGCTCGAATAGAAAGACTGTGTCAAACGATGATATCATAATAGTGAGGGGAACGCTTTATCCCCTGGGCCACCTCGACTACCAGAAGCAATCTTTTTTCTTATTATATTGAACAGCTGACCCAATTTTGAGTTTATGACTACCAGTGTTCCATATCGATGTTAACTGTAGCCTTGTAATTTTGAACTTATTCCAGAAGAAAGGGAACTCTTGGATCAAGTATAGGGAGAAATTTGCCTTCTTGGAGGACGTTTTGATTGAACTAACCCGCATTTGCATTACATGGTGAGGAAAACCACGTAAATCTTCCACTGTTAGCCTGACAGCAAGGTGACTCTAATCTATGATCCGTCTATTACTGAGGATAATTTACGTCATGTCGTTATAGGTGCTGTGGAAATGAGAACCTATTATACCAATATTAGTGCCTGAAAGAGGTACTGTGGTAATGGGATTTTTACCACTTTCTGAAACGGACAAGTACCTAATATTATACTGCACGCACATACATAACCATTTTTTTGTTATTTGTTGTATATTTCGTTGCAGTTTCATTCAAATAAATTTACCATAAGTTAGAAATTCCACTCGCTATACAGTACAATTTAACCTCTGATATTCAGTATTTAACACTATTTTTCCAATGCTTATTAGATCACTTCATGTTGAGTTTCCATTATTACAGCTTATAGAGACACTTTAAAAACGTAAATTTTTCGCACGTTCTCATATTTAATTAATTTTCATTCTTCATGTCAGATAAACTCAACGATCAAAATAAACGTGGTAGCATATGCGTACTACGCCACCAAATTAGCATTCCTAAAATTATCTGACTACGTGTCTATTTTGTTAGCAGTTTTATTTTTAAAAGGTGTTTATATATCGAACTAAATAATTTAAAATCAATAGAAATTAAGATAGAAAAATATGTTCTGAAAGGCGAAATTAAGATAGAAAAATATGTTCTGAAAGGCAAAATTAAGGGAGAAATAGTATTTATTCGTTTAAGGGCAGCATAAAAAATCGAAATACTGTTATTGATCCCGATTACGTATAATTAGTTTCGACAATAGGTTCTAACTAAAATAAAAAATAATTTATGTATTAAAAAGCAAAATTAACGTTGAAAAGGTATTTATTTGTGTAATGGAACCGTAAAGAATCGCCATATTATTGACGCCTATGTTGCTTAATTAATTTTAATAATAGGCTCTTTCGGTAATATAGTAATTGGTGCAGTTTTAAGAGGTTGTAAATATACTAAAATAGGTACAATTTGTATATTTGGTACCTATAAAAAGAGCTTATTTGCAGGCACTCTAAAAGGTTTAGTACCAGAGTGAAATCGCGTGATTGTGGTAAATTTTGGCTATCACGAGTTCGTCTCAATCAACATCAGTGATGCCAAATGAGACTGAAAATATATAATCTTAATTTTGATGGGGTGACCTACTAAAAGCGTATTTTGTTTAATCTAATGATGTAAAGTCATCGATCAGGACAAATAATAAATAAATAAATAAAAAATTGGAATAATTTTAGCTCTATAAATTGTGTCTATAAATGTCTTTCAGTTTTATGCAGGATTTCTGTGTGCTGTTTAGTAGCGATCTATTGATTGTTTACTTTTATTCACCCCATTCAGCTAGTAATTAATAAATATGAACGTTTGTACTATTTTTCTATTTGGAGTGACAAATAATTTAGCAATTTTAAATAATATCCGATATACTTGTGTCAAAGCACTCTGAGTGAAAATTTGTTCTTCCCAACTCAATTTCATCCACACGTCTATTACCTAAAAATAAATATATAAATAAAAAATATTATTATTATTATTTCAAAATAAAGATAATAGAGAGATAATGAATAAACTTATGACAGTACTATTTCATCAACAATTGCTGCCACGTCAGGAACCGAGTTACCATGATAAATCATTTCATTAATCCGCTCCATCTGCAATACAGGAAGAAAAAAAACACATACTTTATTCATTTAATTATTGTTCCCCATTTATATTTCCTAACTAATAAAGCTTTTATTTAACAATGTAATGAGTTTCAAACTATTACTGTATACTATTCTGCTACTAACCAAAATGAAATGTGTCGTAAATTTTGGGAAGCTTTTGCTTGTAAGGTTTTGTTTAGCTTTAAAATTGCTTGTAAAGCTTACAATCAGTAAAGCATACAATTTTTGAAAGTGTTTAAACTTATTGTTGTACCAAGGTTAAACTTGATAGGCTTACTTTTTCTGAGCTAACAATGAAACTTAAAATATTTTACTTCATGAAGCAGTCAATCCATTTTTATAATAAGGTAAAAAGATGCAAAAAAAAAAAAAAAAAAAAAAAAAAAAAAAAAAAAAAAAAAAAAAAAAANAAAAAAAAAAGAAAAAAGAAAAAGCTTATTAAAATTACTTACGAAGTACGGCTTATAAGAAATTATCAAGTTGAAGAACAGATAGTATAAGTTAAGGAACTACATTACAAAGATACATCCAGGGTTACGGTAGAATTCGAGATACCTCCACGGTACAGGGAGAGACTAGAGTGCCTGAGACTAGAGTTACTCTAGGCACTCTAGGAGAGACCGGTCAGACAAAGAATATATAATATTCACTTATATATTCTTTGAGTCAGCCACGGATGCCCCTATTTCAACAGTTTGAATCCACAAACGACTGTATTACATAGCGTAAGTAAAAAGTGTTGTCCTCCTCTTCACTTTTCATTCTTTACTTTTTTTTTCTTACGAGAGTTTGATGAAATTCTTTGTCCCAAGAAAATTATAAATATGCCAACGTTTGAGTGTCCAATTCGGAGTAAAGCTATAATTTCAAACTCTGAGCACTTCTTCGATAAAAATAAATTTATTCGCCGAAAATAAGTTTATATGCTTTAAAGCGAAAAAATAGTTAAAACCAATAAAAAAAATTAAACTGTGTTAAAAATTTGCCTATTTGGTGCTATTTTCTTACCTTGATGATAATGATCAAAATCAATGAATAAATTTGATTTTTTGGCAAACTTTTTTTCCTTTTCAATGTAATGAAGAAATATTTTAAATGTAAAAAAAAATTAGATCACAACATATTTGGTTTAGTTACATGCATTTTGGCTTTTTACGCAAAAATAATAAAACTTTCAATTCTAACGTGCGTAAAAAGTATACAGGGATCACGATGGAATAAAAATTTAAAATTCTATCATTAGTTCGAGGATTAGAAACTATCAAAGAAAGAAATACCGTACTGGTCGTAGGAATGCAGTACATATAGACTGAGGTAGAGGTTTAACTACAGATTTATAAAGTTAACTCAAATTTTCAATTGCGTTTTTCTGGAAATTGACTGGCTTCCGCGCTTGATTATTTTAATGGGCAAATACTACCCGTAAGTTTTGCTACTATTATACCATGTTTTAACCAAAGTGAATTTCCCACATAGGGCTTTCGCCTTGTTAGCAGAGTCAGCTAGCTAAAGATATGCAAACCATGTACCAGTTAAAGCTAATTCTTACAATCTCACAACAGTTATAAAAATTGCGTATTTTGGGACGGCAGAAAAAATAACAATATCCAGAAAACAACCTTATATGAATCTATTACGCAGTTACCAGTTGGAGAGTGATTACTTCACGCTTGTGCACATTCTTGTCCGGGGAAAAGTAATTAACAGCGAAAAGAAGCTAATCAGATAGAAAGGTGTGAAAGTCAAGTTTAGTTGACATGTAATACTTGTATATTCTCATGTTATAAAAGCTAGTTATTTCTGAACATTTAACCTATTGATCGTTTTGATGATGAGACGCAAAGTATATGTCACATTAGTTAACACTAAATTTTCCGCGGTGGGTTCATTGAAATTGAGACATAGACTTTAGATTTAGAGCTTCAAGTAGTAATAATTTTACTATTCATAAATGATGTGAAAAGTGTTATGAAAAGAGAAGTAGTAGTACATTTGTGTTTATGATTAAGTGGACAATTTCTCATGCTAGTGTGGCTAAAATAAGAATTTGAAAATTAAAATTGTAAAATAAAAGTGTTAATCAAAATTTTGGAAATACAATTACATTACCTATCTAGTTTGAACGAGAATTAGGTGGGTCATATTCTTTTAAAAAATAATTGGGATGGCAATTTTTTATCCACTCAGATTATAAGAAATGCTATTATTATGTTAGCAATTTAATATGAAAAGTTATTTAATTTATTAAAAACATGAATGAAAAAGAAGTAAAGATTACATTATCAAATGCTACCGCTCTCTCAATGAATGGCTTAGTATAAATTTCACAAAGCAAAAACCATTCAAGAATCAAGTCTTCGCCGAACCAGTGTGAATAATCATCCATGAACAATTTATCTCTATAAATAAAAATTAAGATTATCCAATAACAATAGGTTTAGTTTAAAAAAAATTATAAGTAAAATAACTGTCGGCTATAAATTTATATGGAATGGAATCTAGTGCAAAATGCGTTTCGCTCTGAAAATGAATTATAGAATATTTCAGCTGCTTTATGCTCAGGTTGTATTTGAGAAATTCGGTGAATGATTCTATAAAATAAAGGAAGCAAGAGATACGAACAAAATATCGACATTCAAAATAATTGTCATTAGCTACAAAAAACATTTAGCATAGATTGTACAGCAGATGGATGGAAATTGTCAGCAAATGCTTTTTTCGATATCGTTGGATGAGCAGTTGTCACTCGTTGTTGGATCTGTTTTACGTTAGCCAGAAAGTATCTCCCTTGCCATCTCTAGAATGTTTAACCCATCTAAAACACAATTTATCCCCAAAACACAATTTAGAAAACTATTTTTCCTGGAAATACAATGGAAAGGGTTTTTGGACAATACAGTTATAAGTCACTAATTTCATTTCTTCCAATTATGGTTAGCTTTTTTCATTTACTTGTTTCTTTTTATTGTTTCCAGATAAGTGTTTTACAAATATTTGAATTTTTTTCTAGATAACACATCAATACCCAAAAATATCGCATGGCTTTCGTGAACTACTTGACACTTCTTTTCAAGAAACCATCAGAAATCCTTTATCGTTAGGCATGAAACTAAAACTTGAATAAATAAGGTTATGGGGGAGGGGGAGGTAGCAAGTTAGTGCATGCTAACTCGTTGTCGCGTGTTCTACACATGTTTTGTCGACGCAATTTTTTAATTTATGCGTATGCATTTTTGAAATCTTAGAGTCTACTCTAAAAATTAAACTGCGTTTTTAATTATGAATATCAGATGCGAAAAATTTCATAGATTACGCTGTTCTGAACTTAAAAATGAAGAAAAGCGACATGATTGAATAAAGTATTAAATTTATGAAGCATTTTAAGTGAGTTTCTTATTTTCCCATAATGAGAATTAAAATGATACAAGGTTTAATGATATCTTAATGAAATTTAGCGAACTTATGAGCGTTTATTCAAAGCTTTTTTTTATGTTTAAAAAGTTAGGTGTTAACAAACACAAAGGGGAGAATGGAGACTTTCGAGAAAGTATTCACTTCATTAAGTACTAACTGGCAAATATCCAGCTTGTCTCTTATTTGTTCAGACACCAGGATATATTTAGAATTCATTGACTGGGAAAAACGAACGGAGTATGTCTAGTCTTTGTCTATAATGAATAATAACCAATGATTAAAACCGTTAGTATCCTCTTTGGAAGAGGGAATGCTTTTAGTTCATTTTTTAAAAGAGGATGTAATTCAGAATCGGTTAAATGTGATCTGTTAAATGGTATACATTTCCATTAACTGTAATATTAGCATAAGTCGGTGAACTATTAAAAACTTTAGAATTAAAGATGAGGTTACAAATATCAAAAGAATTAATAGTTGTAAACTCATAGACAGTATAGAATTTCATTGTTCATGAGAATCTGATTTCTGATATTTAGCACAATGTCTTACATCGAGAGTAGGAGCCATTTTTACTCATTAACTCGTCATTCTTCATCTCTTACACTAGATTGCCCAAGGAAATCATTTTGACTGCTTTTTAATTTCAGTTAGAAAAACAATGTTGTATATAATGACACAATTTCTTAGAATTTTGTGACTTTTTATACAACATGTAATTTTTTTCTTGTTAATATTTACATATAACTTATTGTATAACTGTAAATAATCTAAAAAAATATTAAAAATTAATTTTAAACAAATTTCTTTACACATTAGTTATTTTTTCACAATCCAATCATTTTGACTGCTTTTGGGCAATATAGATATATGTACTAAGTTTCAGTCTTTCTAGTGTTGAAGATCTATACTTGCACTTATTCTCAAGTAAAAGTGAAAATAAAAAAATGAAAAAACGGTGGCCTGATACAGGTCTCTGAACAATTGTCCAGTAATCTATACCCACATTATCAGCCACTATCAGCTTTCTCTATATATTACATTGACCTCGCTTTCTATAGTGACTACTATCTGTTCACCACAACTACTATCTGTCTCTTGGTCCAAACCGTAGATATGGTGGTAACGACCACTATAGAAATAGGTTGTTCCTTTGCAGCATATTTGTAACAGAAAACTGCTGTTTATCCCTTAAGAGTTTTATTGTCGCTAGATGCACAAATATCTGCCATCAGGCTCACCAAAATATATTAAAATAACTTCATTTCACATTGACAGACATTTCGTCCAATGCTCGTGTGATGGAGAGACAGTGAAAAGGAAACCGGATCGTGTTTTTCGGTTGAATTTTATGACTATTAAAATTTGATTTTCAATCACCAATTTAGACACTTTCTTTCACTAGGTGGTTTTGATTTGATTAAGAAAGCATCAAGGAATTACTTTTTTAAATTTCTATAACTTGTCTAAAATTTAACTTTGGATTCTCAATTTTTATTGGAGTTTAACATAAGCAGAGACACTGGTTAAATACAAACATTTTTTGAAAAAGTTAAAAATTTAATTTTCCTCAGAGCTAAAATTTGAAGAAAAAAAAACTTACTATGACATCTTGCGCGCACGATGTAAATCATAAAAATCATGTTAATGATTTGAAACTACTTTTGAAAGGAAGTCAAATGTCTTGTTTTTTTAATAAAAAAAATCATGCTATCTCAAAGAAATAAAAAAATAAAACGTTTTTTTAAAATTAAAAATAACTTCATTTTTTAAATTTTACATTAAAAAAATGTTTTGTCCGAAAATTTTTTTTTTAACAATAGTCAAATGTAGAAGTTGAAGTTAATTATACAAAATGCAAGATTAATAATATTCCAAATGAGTTAAATCAACTGGCTATACTGAAACTAATTACTAAGCTTTAGCTTAATAGGTTTGTCAGAAGTTAAATCTTCCGAGCTAGTAGAGTTAAGTCTGATTTAAAGACAAAACTTTGAATAAATAACTTATAACTAAATACTTTAGTCAGTATACGATTCCAGATAAGAAAATGGCTGTTTTATTTTTTGTGTGAGTTGGTTTTACTATTTTCCTGTAACTTCAAAAGTTATTTGATTATACTTGGTGTCATATTGCTCAGAATAAAATAGTTCATATAATATTTTGTTTTTCAAGAAATAGAAAATTTTGTCCAAAAAAAACCCCTCTAAGTCTCTTAAAGACTGATTAACTTCTGTGAATTTCTCCCTTTATTTGACATGCATATTTTATAATTTCCGAATCAGATTCCAAGTCTTCAGGCTTAGGTTGATCCTCCAAAATTTTGCTCAAACTTTACTATGATACTTATACTTATAGGAACATTGAATGAGAAAAGCAAATGCCCTCACGAAAGTCAACGTATGTTGCTGTTTCCGGAAATGAAAGCTTTTAAAGTGGTAGTTCATGTACTATATAATAATAAAGACTATTCTTAACGAAATATTACAGTATAAAATATATAAATAAAATGAGGAATACCGTGATGCTGAAAGATCGATAGTTACGTAATTAATTAAATTTCGAACATTATGGTAGAGCTGTAACATTTTCAGAGACTCTTCGACATCCCTTCCCTTGTCCCGATTTTGCACCACATACACTACATGTTCAATGATTGGCTTTATGATATCCTTCACCTAAAAAAAAGAAAAAAAGGTTATATATATATATATATATATATATATATAA